ACAATGCGGATTAAGATTTATTTGTTCAAATGACTTCGGTGTTCCGGTGACGATAAAATGCACTGGCTTATCTCAGACTACTTCCTTGCAAGAAGAAACTGGTAATTAATTATCTACATTCTGTTGTAATAACCTATTTTTTTTTAATTTTAATTAACCTAATGTTTCTTTGGTAGATAGATAGATAGATAGATTTATTATTAATATGAAACTTAGGTAACTGGATGAGCTTCAAGATATTAAAAGGCAAGATATAAATCATGTCTCCCAAATCGATTTCTTTACGAAAACTTATTTCAAATTAACAAACTGAATATTCAATACTCTTAATACATTGATTTTTAATTTAATGTGTTTACACAGCCGATGCGTGGATGATGACTCTACATTTTGTGACAGTTTCTGATTCACAAAACGGCCAATAAACCCTCTATTGTTGTGTGCTATAAAAATAAAAAAAAACATCGATCCAATCCTATTTTTCCTTTGGCCATACAAAAACTTATTCAGTTGCACAGAGTTAGAATCGAAATTAATGTAACAAGAAATGTATCGGAGTATAAAATTCTCGAAATAAAGATATTTTTCTACATAATTGGGTTACTGTTAATAGGACGACCTCCCTGGTAGCGCAATTTATAATCTAATATACGTCACGGCATAAAAAACTAGTCAATATTACGGTACCATCTCGAAGATGGGCAATCGTATGAGTTTTCTCATCTGCAGCTCGCTAGCAATACTGCCTTTGATGTTTTCAACTGTTCAAAACGCAATTAAGAAGTGAGTTTGGTTCTCCTTTAGAAAATTCCGTGTAAATATAACAACCTGTCTGCAATCTCTGAATCTGTTACAATTACTAGACTTGCAGGGGATAAAACACCAGTGGCGCTACAACCCATGGTTTTTGCCTCGGATTTTTGTACCTTATTCGTGATCTTGTATTCTAAATAGGCAAGAAGAAGCCCTAATTTGCCTGAACCGTTTTTGGTTCTTAGGTATACAGGTTTACCTATGATGTATTCCTTCATCTAACAAGTTAAATGCGCGCATAGAACGCACGCTTAAGCATTTAAACTCTTTGCAAGGGATAGATAGTTATTGGAGTGGTATTGTAATGTATAATAACTAATACATAACTGGTTATATAACGCTATTACTTAGCGTTAACACTTCTAGTATTAAAAAGTATTATTATATTAAATGCTATATATATTTGTATTATAACAAAGCCGGATTAAATTCAGGCCAACTCCCAGGACTCGGCGCATGCTCTGTTAGCTTTCCTTTATTGAGCGTAGAACCTCCGTTTGTTCTTAGCCGTTAGGTATATTATATACTCGAATTGTTACATCAAATTCAGGGTGAATAATATACCAGGTGTGCATCACAGGCAACTGACAATATTTTATACTGAATCACCACTGTATTCTTATGAAATTTAATTGTTAGTTGATATCATAAATTACGAACCTTTTTAATATCTACGATAAAAATTAGGATAGAGCTACTTATTTACTCACTTTAATGAGATTTCCAATGCTGTGGAACCATAGCAATATATTGGTACCTTTATTCACCATAAAAGTATAATTATAATATATAGCCGTAAATAAATTACGTAAAAACAGTGACCCAGGCTCCTGTAGTAGTGAGAACAACAGATTTATTTCAGAAACCTGTGTTTTCCCAGTTACATTAAAAAAAATTAAATAACAGTTAAAGAAAAACGCTTTTTACCGGATTAAAGTTATGTTTATTATTATAAATTTACAACTATTTGACATAATTTTAAATTTATCCGACGTTTCGCGTGCTTTACAGCGTGCGTGGTCACGGTGACTGAAGACAAAAGATGTTGAATGTCAAAAAGTATCACAGCTGCAGAGAAAGTTGCGCGGATTGTTTTTGCGCGAAAATAGAGGACACCGTGAGCCATTTTTGCCAAAACCCTCCATCTTTTAGTCGATACCAACTCCGGGGAAATAAATACAGATAATGCAACTTTCTCTGCAGCTGTGATACTTTTTGACATTCAACATCTTTTGTCTTCAGTCACCGTGACCACGCACGCTGTAAAGCACGCGAAACGTCGGATAAATTTAAAATTATGTCAAATAGTTGTAAATTTATAATAATAAACATAACTTTAATCCGGTAAAAAGCGTTTTTCTTTAAATGTGTAAAGGTTATGTTAATCAAAGACAATATTAAATAACAGTTTGTACATACTTTTGTAGTGTTACTGTACCTACTAGTTTCCTTCCGAAAAATCGCCTCGTCATAGAATTCCGAATTCGAGCGAGCCCATCACTACATACAATTAAAGAGTAAATGTAAAGTAAATACTCGACATTAATTGTCGATTTGATCCGTGACATTCGTGGTGAAGTATTCAAAACGAACAAAAACGAATATCTGCTCTAAAATTTGGTATTAGAGTCGCTTTTACATTGCAACTAATGTCGCTTTGTCACGAGAATACAACCCACGCAGCCTTTGAATTCTGTAGTGGCTAAATGATTTTTACTATAAAAGGGGATATCTATAAAGTGTTATTCTAGTACCTCTATAGTAAAATGTTTGAAGGCAACCCTAAATTTACGTCCTTCATATTCAAAGTACCCCAACTGTCAGCAGTTAGGCCTACATTATATTTTAGTTTAGTGGTTTCGCAGGGACACCAAAAATGTTAATGTTATTCCAATCCCCGTAGAATATGTCGGATTGGTTTTCAGTTTGAAGCGCATTTTTTGTAAAAAGTTCCACCTCTACTGTAATATAGTGCTAATGTACAGATTTCATTGAGCATTGGTCAACCACTGACACGGCTGACGTAGGTGTCCTAAATTTCTATAGCTGAAGGTGCACGAAACATCGCTCAAATAATTGTATACAGGTGAAAGTAGTATTCATGATATTATTTTAATATAATAAATTCAATTTGAATATTGTTACGTCTTATTAATTTCTTGCATCTACTAAAAATGACGAAGACTCATTCAATTAGCCTGCTAATACCTTTGAGAAAATTCTACTACCTTGAACATCTGATCCTAACCGTAGGGCTTACCTTAGGTCTCTAGCTGGTGAACGCGACTTCATCTGCGCAGGATTAAAATAATGTTTGTCCAAATGATGTAGCGTGAAAGACATATTCTATATACTTAACATAATCAATTTATGACTACCAAATGAGCATTTGAAATAAATTATAAATATTTATTGTAATTATGGTTCACTATTTTGGCTGTAATGTTTTACACATAAGATACAGATATATGCTTCTTTGTAGGGCTATTTAAGATAAACATTTCCATCATACATTACATATATGTAACTCTATCGGTTTTTGCAGCGCACGCCAGAATATCTCGCAGATGGATTTTTTCCTACTTGATATTTTGTGTTATTCTGATATAAGCTACCTTTTAGCTAATTTTTACGTGAAAGAGTAACAAACATCCATCCATGCTTAAAAACTTTCGCTTTTATAATATTAGTAGGATTGTTAACAATAGGGGTAGGGTTGTTAGATTTATGGTTTTTATCCTCTCATGTATTTAGTCATTTTTGTGCAGCTGCTAATATCATTTCCCTACATTGTCTAACAAAGACTCTTGACTCTTATCAAATACAACCTTAAACACAATTTCCACCGGCTGGTCCTGGCGTAGTGAAATTTCACTGGTAGGTCCATGACGTATTGCATTGTCGAATGCCTGGTTATTACCATGTAAAAAAAGGTAAACCTTTTACGGGCCAAAATTATATATTCTTCGTAGACCCTAGCCAGAAACCAGGATAATATTTGGTAAGAAGACCATAATCCGACTGAAAGAAGAGCTCAGCATAATTAGCTATCGATTCTTCGCAAAGTGGATTCCTTTAGGCGTTATTGAAGTTGAAACCTCTCAGTGACCCGAGGCTATGCGCTCCCTCTGAATATTGATAATGCGAAATGTACGCCCGGAAAACTTCTCTCTCCTCTATAAGGATTAAGCTCCGTACAAAATTTGTTCACTTTCGTCTCAGATTAGACACGCTTTTCATGCTTATAAAATGTAAAAGCAACGAAGAGAAAATACGTAATTTTATATCGTTTTTAAAACAAAAAGCCTTTCAAACATTTTAAAGGTACAATATACAAAAACTATATGCCTACCAAAGCCCTGACAGATCCCTCTCGTTTGGATAGGCACAACCCTTTCATCCCCACACTAAAGTCTAGTAAGTGACTTTAAATTAGTCACATATTCACTACTTTTTACAAGCCGCATTAATTTTCATACCTTCTTTAAAAGCTCAAAGTGATTTTGATTCCATAGATCCGTGACCTAACAATAGACTAGGAGGTCTTTCACAGATGGACGGACATGCAAGCATGTGTCCCATTGTTTAAGGATGGCCGTAAATTCCCCATAAGTCGTAACAGAAAAAAACCCGCGACGTACCGCTCTCCACCCATATGGCTTACAATAACAAATTCTTAACCGAAAGTAAACTAATGTAGCCCCGCGTTCCGTTTTACTGACGGCTGTATGCAGGCGAAAATGACATTAAACTGACTGCTTTTGTTTTCTATTTAATTATTGTATTCCGTTATAACACGAGTAGACAAAATAAATAATATTTTAATCTAGTTTTCATAAATAGAACAAGACAACAATTGGAGTTTTTCTGTGTTTTGGTTAACTAATTTAAATCAATATTTTATACAATTTCCATAAGCAAATTGGGATAATCACGAATGATAGTAAATACATTAGTAAAGCGTACGAGTATACTCGTATAATTGCTTTTATATAGTTACAAATTTGTGATCGAATATTGGCCTACTTATATCTAGTAGAGTATTCGAAATTTGAAAAATAAACCGTGGTATCAATGACGTAACACTTGGACAGGGCTATTTAAAATTATACAGATAGTAAAGAGACAATTATTCTACCATCACCAATATTCTATGCATTATTAAATTATTTTAATAATAGTATGTATTAGTAGATTTCAGACTCAAATCCACCACCATTATTTTCAGTATTCCTCCCATCGACCCGATCTTTCCCAGCTATGTTAAGTTTCACAATGGCTTGATCATAGTTTTTATGATTACCTTGAAATAGTATAGGTTTTCCACGCGTTGTAAGTACTCTGCCAATGCGTGCGCCAGTTAATACCTTTGGTACTTCGACGCCTTTTGGTAATTTAACCCCAGGTGGTAGGAGCTTATCAATTGGGCGGCGTTTTGGTTTTCCCGGCCATAAGAAATTTAATATTACTTCGACTAAGCTATCGACATCCATGGATATGTGTTGAATTTCCATTAAATGATGAATGTGCTGAAAGAAAGTTTTATACTAACTATAACACTAGATTTGAAGGAACTAAAACACTAGATTTGAGATGGATTTTGATAGATGACCTCATATTTACGTTTAGTGACAATGAAATCCAAGGTTTATATATTATGATGGAACATAATCTTCTCCACCGTAGAAAAGTGTTAATAGTACAAATACAAAGAAAATCAAATGTTCACTCAGTAATTCAAGACCTAATACTTTCACATGACTTACATTATAGCTTCAAATTCCGTTTCTATCACAGATTAATAAGAACACGTGAAACGTAGATCTTTCTACAATTTTAAATATTAATATAAACGTCATATACTTATTTGTACGAAACTACTTCAATATTCTAATATATATATATGTAAATAAAACGAATCGCAAAATATGTTAAGTGCAAAATTCGAAGGTTCAGCCGGAACCAAATCGAGTATTTCTTTTATTTATTGAGAAAAAATTTTTTATTTAGTACGTAGGTTTTTATTCTAGAAAAGCGAACAGCCTCCATGGGGTAACATAGCAAAATGTTTATAAAAAAACATATTAAAGCGACGCTCTAGTTGCCTCAAGTCTACATAATAAAGTGATTATGACGTTTTTGTAAGAGGAGAGGAGAAAGCATATAATAAGCGTGGTAGGTGGATAGGACATTCTTATCTCGTAGCACATACAGTCTAATAGTACTTATGAATAATTAACAGCATTTGAGATAAAAACAAAATAACAAATATGCTGTAAAATAAATATTGAGATTCGACTTAGGGTCCTTTAAGAAAAGAGCGTGCCATTTCTTAATAGGCCGGCATTGCACTTGCGAGCCCACTGTCAATGTGAGTGTCTATGGACGGTATCACTTATTTATAGAAAAAAATTGTGCGTGTACTAGTGTATACACGTAAGAAGTGAAACTTCTTTATGACCTTATTTTACGAAAAATTATCTACTATATGCAACTTTACAGAAATTGGTTAAATAAAGTTAAATTAGATAAAGTTTAACAAAAGGCTTTTCCTATCATAGACATGAATTCAAATAATGCAATTATTAGATTTTACCTTATTACTACTAAGATTATTACAGAATTTCATTAATTGCATTTACTTCAAGTAATCCGACTAATTTCAAGGTTTTCTCGCGAGATTTGCCGCCTTCAAAATTTTCAGTAAAATATCGGATTCAACCTGCGATCGATCAAGCAATTTGTAGTTGGTATTAAAAAAAAACAACATGGCGCGTAAACGAAAAACGTGACGATTTTTTACATTGCTACAAAATTTCTCCCATACGTCGATAAAGAAGTTTTACTCCAAAAAAAAGTAGTATATTAACCTTACCTTATTGTGGTGATAGTCTTCAAAGTTGTTATACGAAAGCATGTATAGGCGCACCATTCTTGTATATTTAGTACGAATTTTATAAATCAATCGTCCAATGAAGAAGGCTTCATCACTTGTATACGATTCAATGAAATGTTGGATTCGACGTACATTCATAATAGCGTCAAAGGTGAGCTCTTTATCCAAATTAACTATTTTGTATCTCATATAAACATTCGTCTTGCCTACATATACCGTTTCCTTTCTAGGTATCACTAAAATTATGGAATATAATTTTTTTTTAATTTCTGGGTAACTAAACAACACAATATTTTAGATTTATACACTCTTTTAAAAGAAACAATAAAATATAAGTTTTTATAGATTACTAGCTTATAAATTACACTTAATAAATTATTACACACTCCTGTATTCAATTCATTTGAAATTCAGTGAAATATGACATTTTGTTCAGCTGTAGCAAGTAGTGTATAGCAAGAAAAAATATTCTAAAACTACTGTACTGAGTATAACAAAAGAAAGAAGGAAATATTTATTAACACACACTCATGAATTAAAACTTAAAGAAACCAATCGCGCTTCAACACTTGATCTTGGCCTCAGATTTCTGCATCTGTTTCGTACCTAATCATTTTTCTAAATAGGCAAGTAAGTAATCAGCCTGTAGTGTCTGACACTCGCTGTTCTTTGTCTCTTAGAAATGTCGGTTTCCTAACGATGTTCACCTTCACCGTGCAAAAATTATTTTTATGTAATCTAAGTGCAATGTCGTGTGCTTATTTTGCCGTAACTCAGTGCTTGCACATTCGGGTGAAGCTTGAGGTCAATGCACAAATTTTCCTACCTACCCTTCTATGTATTCATTAACAGCATCATAATAATAACAAAGTGATATTATAGTAAACTTACATAGTAAAAACCAGAAAAAGTAAACAAATTTCATCATTAATAATTATTCCTTATTTACCACTTGTTAATGCGTAAGTACGTTTTACGCATACATATTGCCTACAATACTACCATGAAAATCTGTGGTGTTAATATCTGGTGTTTTATAGCGTAATTAAAATAGTTATGTTTTGGGAATAAAACGTAGATTACCGTTAAAACAAGCGATAACGTGTAAAAAAACTTTCTTCTACGTCAAAATAAGCCAACCTTGTTTCATATCAAAGGCGTAGAAACCTGTAAAATGGCGGGATTTCAAACAATGACATCTGATCAAGGTCCGAGTACGTTACCAAGTATGCAGGATCGAGACAGCGCTAAGAATGTCTTCCATATGCCAAAGCGTATTGGATTTGACATACGATTTCGGATACGAATTATCATATCAAAAAAATAGCAACATTTATAGTAACCTAAAATATACCTCTAATTTTAATCGAAGAACAGTTCCACATGGGTTCAAGTACGGATGTTAAATTACACTTGATTATGTTTCCTTTGGACTTATCACGTTTGGGACGTGAGCTTTAAGTGCACCGGCGCTTATTCAAATTTTAAGTTGATTTTTGGTAGATTTTAACCGTTACCGTTAACCCCAGAGCTGGTGCTTTCCTAGCTCAACAATTTAGTATCGCAATACAGCGAAAAAATGCTGCCAGCATTAATTGTACATACTCGTATGTGCCACAGGGACTAAACTTTTTAAATTGGTTTTAGTTATCTATTTATTAATTTTAATTATTATTATGTAGGTTAAGAATATTGTAAATAACCTTGATTATATATAGGTACATTGTATTTTTCATCCACATATTATCTTCCTCGGCATCTGTGGATATGAACGCAATAAACTCTAAAAATCTCGAAAGGATTTTTGTATTTCACCAATCAAAAAATCTAAATCATTTATTTATTCGTATAGGTAACACAATGCCCACTTATGAACGTCAAAAAAGAAATATATATTAAATGCTTCTAATTTTACATTTACTGCCAGTTCTCTAATCAAGGGCGTAGAACGGAAGCGAAGAACTGGCAATAAACTCTCTGCCACTCTTTTTTAATCGCCAAGTTTTTTGTTTTACACAATGGTTAGTAAATACAATTTAGATGGTAATATTCTTGAGGTTAGAATGTATTTCATTATGGATTTATGTAAATTGACTGAAATATTACGATTACTGGTGAGGTCACAAAAAATAGGTTCGAAATACATCAAACCGTCTGCAAGCTGCGAAAGCTAGTAAGTAGGTACATCTATTATGTCATTTTTTAATTTGTATTTTACTGATTGCTCAAATATGTTTTGAGTGAGAGTATGCAATATGGAATCGGCAGGTTAGCTGCATTATCAACTTGTTTAATTATGATCAAAATACCAAAATCGGTCTAGTGGCTTGTCACTAACGACGTAGAAGATAAATAAATAGCAACATTACCTATGTGCCCCTGCTTTGTAGAAGTCCTTTATACATGAATTACCACCGCAGGGGTAGCGAAGGTGGGGAAGCGAAGGGGCGTGGTATACGCCCTTTTTGCCTGTTTGTCCCTTTCTAACGCTGAAATATTGATTAGGAGCTTCCGGCACAATGTCTATTATAAGTTGTCGTATGTAAAGCATTATTTTTATAATTTATCTAAGACGACTGTTCTAGGTAAAATCCGAAATGATTGTTTATTGAGTATAAGCATAAAAAATATATTCTTTGATATCTATTATCATTACAAATAACATTTCCTATTTAACATATAAAACTAGAAGGTTCTACAATGTGATATCACTGTGCATGACAGTCATCTGTTGGAAAATAAATTAAACCAAAGAAATATTTATTTTTCATAAGATCCCAGTATTTTTTAAGTTGTCAATGCTTAATAAATACTTAGGAAATTGTTTATCATTTAATTATATTCCTGTTTAAAGTTGGATGACTTACGTATTGTCTCCTTAGGTAGGGCAGAGCAGCAGTGCTTCGGCATTTTTCTTTTTTGAGCCGCTCTCTACAACACAACACCCAAGTCTACAGAATCTAACCTCAACTCACAACTAGCTTGTTCTTGAGCCGCAACTAAGTTTTCTTTTTGGGAATCCAGTCTGTTTGGGAATGGGGGAATAGTGTGTCCAACGACCTATATGGACTTGCGATGTAGGACCTGGTGACTGTTTTCTGGCACCGTTATTTCTGTACACAGTACAATGTGTTTCATTAATATATTCTAACTGTTCCGCGACCGTTATTGTTTCACCGGTAATCAAACCTCCATATTACTCGCCATGTTAAAATCATATCATTTAAACATTTAGTACATTTATCAATAAAAAACTGTTCTTAAATCAAGAGCGTAGAACAGACGAGAATAACTGTCAATAAACTCGTCTCCACTGATTCTAATCGCCAAGTGTTTTGAACGTTTAACGTTAATTACTAAGATGATCCAGTTTCAAATAAATTTCTACTATTGGTGTGTTCCGGTCTACGCAAAGTTCAGCGTTATTTCAGCGGTACTACAATTTTTTCATACTTAATTGTATTCGAAAAAGGAACAAAATTTTATGACAACTGTGTTCGTGTGATATGTGATAAAGAGACCGACATTTACATTTTAATTAAACCCTAAGGGAATGCATCGGATAATTTCCAAATGGCTTAATTGTGTTTCGGTGGGAGGGTGTTGGATAAACCGAACACTGCTATTAGCTATCTATAATATGTATTGGTATGAACAGTTCAGTTAATTAAAGCTGGAACTATCTTTTTGCTTTTGATCACTCGCTTTAATTGTTCTGTATCAATTAAAAATGTTGATTGATGCTCGTAGAGTGAAAAAATAATGAAGAAGATACAATAATTTGAGGCCATGCATTATAAATGATTATTATAGTATTTTTATTAATATAGTAGCGATGCCTGCAATATGCGCTTACAATCAGTACGATGGCGTCATGGATCGCCCAAAAAAGTTATTCCATCAGCTAAGGATATTCAGCTTCCGGGTCAGTCAAGAATTAGGCTCGAGATTCTTCCCTTTAGGTCGGAGAAAGAACAGCACCTTCCTTCTTCCAAAGTACTTAGTTTAAGAAAACTTGTTTAGGTAACTTAAAAAAATGCAAAGGAAGATTGTTTCGAAACCACGTGAGAATTAAATTTATTTATTATTTATTCATAAAAAATAAGTCAGCCTTATTGCCTCATTTTAACTAAAGTTTAAACAACTTTATTCTTACTAACAAAATGACAATTTTATTTTCATGTAACTTTATTAAACCGATTGGTCGTCGCCATCGGACATCACTTATAATTTTGCAATTTAGTCTTCTACTAGATAGGTATAGGTAGGTAAGTAGATAGGTCATAGGCAGTGTCAATTAATAAGTATAATACATTCACTATTATTAAATAAAATTTTTTTTAAGCCAAATCAAAGTCAGTAATTTATCAGAGTCGAGACAATGTCTGTCTGTTAAAAACGTATTTCATGTGAGAACGGGAGTCATACTTTGCACAAAGATGAAATTTTTTTTAAAAGTCCAAAAGTCCCAAAGTCTAATACATGAAGTAGAGAAAAATATTATTTATGTTTTTATTTAGTAATTTTGAGAAGAACGCGAACTACGAACACATTCTCAAACGCGTAGAAAACAAAAGAGATTAAATAATTAAAATAGATTTACCGGAAATGGCCTAACCTACTGTGGGAAAAAGCTCTTAAAATTTTACGAACGTGCTTATGGTCATTAAGTTTTTACTCTGAAATCTGAGACATCAACGTAAATTATGAAAAACTAGTCCGTTTCAAACTCTCCAACATCCGGTCACGGCGACAATCTGTCTGATCCGAAACGAAAAAACAAACAGGCTACACATTTCTAGCAATAATCAACTCTATGATTTAATTATAGAGTTAAAAATATCACAGATCCTATCTGTGAAAAAAGGCGGTATCATGTCGAATGTCACATCGTTACGAACTGTCAACACGACCATAGATTAAAGAAATTTAATGATTCTTCACTTGCGGTACTACCATGAAATAGAATGAAAGTGTTTATAAGATTTTTGTATAAGCATTTATGATTTTTATATTTTTTAGGGATCTTGATGTTTTTCCTTTTTTTGTATTTATGTTTATTTATTTATATAAATTGTATGTACCCATTTTTTTCTCTAGCTACAATAAAAAAATATAAGATTTATTAAGGAATAATAAAATGGTAACTAGCATATAATAATGAATAAACTGTATTATTATACCAAATAATCTTAACCTTAAAGCCTTGAAAGTACATATCTTAAATAAAAGCACTTAAACATTTCATTTTATTTTATCCGTGTGGCGATGCTCTTATTAATTGATAATTGATGGAAGTTCACATACATAATCCGCTATTAATCTTTATCTAAAGCAGTCATCTTCTATCAGTATTGTTTTTGAAAACAGTATACATATTCTCCAAGACTCGAACCCAGGGCGCACTAAGCATACACTAACTATTCTGGTTTTGGCGAAGTGTTTTAATAATACCTATACAAGTATTTTGTTAAGTGTGGTCATTGTAACCTTTTAGATTTCACCACTGAAAAATACCTAAAAATTACATTAAGATAAGGATAGAACGTACAAAACTTAAAATACTCATATATATATAGCACTAGAGGGCTGTTAAGTATTATTTGTTACGATCAATGTGGCGTAGGGACTGGGGTAGGGCGTCTTTACATTGTTGTTCATTACATAATACTCTGTGCCATCTAGTAATGTTTGATTAGAAGTCAAAGTCTGTAGTTATAATAATTACTGTACATAATGACATCAACTATCGCTAGATGGAAGTGTTACATTAAGTGTAAGTACAAACAATAACATAGATGGCGTTACAAAGCCACCAGCAATGTTCTGAATATAAAAATAAATATCCCGAAAATGGATAGAATGGGATGGCGACACTGATAAGAAGAAATCCATGAATCATTTAATCTAAGGAAAAATTCTAGATTTAATCATTGCGAAGTTTTGCTAAAACTTATTTTACATCTTTACAACAAAAATAATTTAGTGTATATTAAGTCGCAGTAAAGTAGTTAAATCAGAGAGTTAATTGAATCTCTAGACATAAATGTTTAATTAAAATTAAATATCGATATTCAATCAAACTCGCTAGCGTTTTGATTGCACTAAAGCAGCGTCGAAATTTTGTATGAAAATAACATTATGGTTTAAAGACTTTATTTCTCAAAAAAGACAAAAAAATGTCACTTACATGAGAATATACTCTAGATTAACATAAAATTGTAGTCGTTCTTAAAATAATCACAATAAAAGATAGCCGTACATGCAATAAACTTAGAAATAAAAGTAACTAAAGAAATATGAATTGAAAGTAATTATAAGAAATGAATTTAAAAGTAATTTTGTTTAACATCATAATATAAAGATGCGCTACGTACAAGAAAGTTTAGTAAACTATGATTTTTTATCGATATTTTGTTTATATTTTTTGGTGCAGATTAGCTAATTAAAAAAGAGAGCTTTGTTTTTAACAAATAAAAAAAAATTGTCCAAGTCTTCTTCGCACCTATATATTGTTATTTCAACACAAGGTCTAATATTATAGAAAGTTTTATAATATTAGACCTTGCGCGACGCGTCTCGTCCTGCTATATGTTTGACTACTACAACGATGACCGAATACCCATATAATTATAACACAACGTGTAGCGTCGCGCTCACGCCCCGTCCAAGTAGTACAAGAAAATCACCCTTTTTGCATAATTAAAGGTTTTAATATAATCTATTCACCTAGAGTATGGTTGAAGGTAATACAGAGAACTGACAAACATGCAGGACAATATTGAACTATGAAATTTGTCACATAGAGTACAGCATAAGGTCTTCTAATACCGGACTTTGAGTACCTTGTCATTCCATAAATAACCTTTTGATAGTAATGATATGATTATATATGAACTACATCAACAAATCAGGCTATAATAGTCTACTGCATTAAGAAAATTCAATAATAGAGAGTTTAAGACATAAGAGATATTATAAAATAAATTATGAAGCTCTGCAACTCTTCTCTAAAATCACTTCAGTTAATCCAGAGATTACCTCTACTATCTCACACACTTTACCTTTTTATAAAATATGAACTTATCAATAAAGATTGTCAATCAAATGCAAGTGTACCTAAATTCAACAATGATTAGCATGCTGAACTACCTAATTGTTTTACTAGTATACATGACTAGGTGTGCCCTTAGTTGAACTCACATGAAAAATTGCTTATAGAGTGATGTTATAAACTTCTTCCTCATTAATAGGCTCTACCTAACACATTTAAAGTCATAATATTAACAGAAAAGTTAGCTTAATGTGTACATAAATAGAACAAAGACATTAAAATATCTTAAAATAATTAGATGATATTAGTTATAACTACATATTTTTTTAATTATTTAGATCTAAGCATGTCTATGTATGTAGTTGGTCATCTTTTTTAACTTTTTATGTAAGTATGATCAATTTTTTTTATACTCAAAAGTAGTAATTACACTTGGTGGTTATGATTATAAAACAGCTGGTTCTCAAGTATGTTAATTTTATATACCAGTGCAATAAAGTTCAACAACGGCGAATAATATATAGTTTCCAGGATACAATGAACATCAAGTGTATAAAATAGACCAAATACCGGTATACAAAGCATTAAAACAATAACTGTAATTATTATACTAGTGCAAGCAAGATTAAAGTGTAAAGTGGGAATCTAACCATCTATATCCCTGAAGACCAAACAGTGTATTACTAATGTAAATGTAAAACAGAGAATAATTAGTAAAAAGTGAATAAACAAATTATTATAACCTACAAATAAAACTGCGTATGAAAACACAAATTTACAATGATGTCATCTAGTTGCAGATAGTCGAACTAGACTTGCAATCAGCTACGCACGCACATTAGCTTCACAACAGCGCCAAGAAACATCTTTAAATTACGCAGATTGTGGTACACCCACTCACCGCTAGAAGACACCACAAGTACCAAAACATGGAAAATGTTATAAAAATTCTGAGAGATTCAAGGCGATCTAAATAATCAAAAACTGGAAATAAAAAACATAAGTAGGGAAGGGTATGACGGGTCTGGGCGTTACTGCATACGATGTTTTGCATTTTCTGAGAAGATTTACTATGGTAATATATATATATATTTTTTTACCATAGGAAAGTAGAGATTTCAACGAACTGAAAGCACACCAACTTTTTGAAAAAAGCTGAAATTTTGACGTCAGAATTTTCGATTGAAAATTAGGGTGTTTTTTCGATATTAATTCAAAATAAGGTTAAAAAAATAAATATTTTTAATCAAATAAATTACAGTATATTTGGGACATAATAAGGTAAGTTTTCACCAAATTTCGTTAAAAAAAAAAGAAATTTGTAAAAGATAAAAATTAAAAACCAAAAACTTGGTTTTTTGAATTTTTCACATAAATTTTGAGGTTATGTGAAAAATGTGTGAATACAAAAGTTTTAGATCTTTTTATTACCTACAACTTTGCCATTTAACTTTCTTCGATAGGACTTTTAGTTTTGCCGGAAATCGAGATAAACCATTTTTTACCCTTAAAACTCCTTTAAACTTTGTTGTTGGACCTTGTCTTACATATGGCTGCCAGACATGGATTTACAATAACTACACCAAAAACAAAATACAGTGTGTCAGGGAGCGATGGAAAGGAGTCTACTAAACATACAAAGACAACATCGGAAAAGAAATACAGAAAACATCAAAAATAATAGACGCTTAAGAATATTCTCAAAAACAAATTGGGCGGGTCATATTGCACGCATGGACAAGGAAAAATGGACACCAAGGGTAACCTGGCAAGGACCAACAAATAAAAGATTAAGAGGTAGACCAAAGGAAAAATGGATTAATGAAATAAAAAGAAAACCTGCTGAAAACTGGATCACCAAAGCAAAAGACAGACAGATGTGGAGAAAAATGGAGGAGGCCTTTACCCGTAGAGGGGTCCATAATGATTAATAAAAATGAATTTTGATTGTGATCCTTTTTATTTATCATTTAAAATTTATATACATTGAAATTATTAATTATGATTGGAATTTAAATTTAAGGATTATTAATAGTAATATTTTATTTTGTTTAATGCATGCACATATTATGTAATAATTAATTATATGATATGCTTGTTTGTTATATTATTCATTATGGAAATAAAGAGGCTATAATAATGTTTGAATTATCACAGTCAGTTTCCAAGACTCGCACACTAGGTTGGATAACTTTAAACTATGTAAAAATGCCTACCTATTGGGCCAGATTTTCTTGCCTGGCCATGTTAATTAACATGATCCCTGCTAAGCCTTGCTTTAACCTATAAATAAAAATATTTAAGAGCTTAAGATTATTCTTTTTTAATATTGCCCGAAATTGCTTTTAAATTGTCTTCAAGATTGAAATGAATTATTCATTTGTAAATTAAACATATCTGCTTAAAAAACCTGTACTTGTTTTTAATTTGTACTAAATTTTGTTAATTCCAATTCCTTTCAAATACTTATAAAACAATCATCTATCAATATCTAATTGTTTATTTATAAATGAGTGCAGTGTGTTTGTAATCACCCTTTATTTATCTTTTCACTTTAGTATATTATTTTGAAACTTTTATGAGTCTTTATTACTTATCTAGTAAATCAAGTTTGAAAGACTCGTAGCATGGTAGACCATCCAAACTGTAAACCCAATTATTTTTGCTGCTAGCTGAAATAATTTATTACACCATTTACAAAGAAGTCCTGACAAGCAGCAAATTTGCCAGAAGCATGGTCAGTAAAGAAACAAATTAGTTTATCTGTTCTTATTTAACAGATTACAGGAACTAACAGGAAACAATCATGTATAGAAATGGATGACATTGTCTACATGAGACTGAAGATGAATTTTATGACCAACAATAATATATGAATTAAAACAAAACTAAAGCATAAAAATTTATTTCAACTTATATAATACTTTTAGAGATCAACAAATATATGGTCCAAATTGACCTTTGTCTCTTAAAACTATCTTTTAGTAACTTAGTCTTGCAACACTTATGTAACTAGAACTTTTATCACAACTAGAAGATGGAAAATATCACAACTATAAGATGGAAAATATTACAATTTAAGATTTTAACAAATCGTCATTTTATGACTTTACTTAGCAGCGACAACCAACAAGAAGACTTAACTTTTGTTCTACTGCTTACAATCTCTTATTATTCATTACTATGATTTTCCTCAACATTTGGTGATGGTTCTGTAGTAAGATCTTTAATAATTTCTTCTACTTGTGAAATGGCAGAATCAGAGCCAAGAAGTGTAATACTTGTTTTGTCTCCTTCTGTACAGCCAATTATTATTTTTGTTTCTGTTTGATATTGCAAATTTCGAATTATTAATCCTCCACGACCTATCACTCTTCCGACTTTTGTTGAAGGAATATGTATAACTTTGTTATTATCGTAATCATGCTGACCAGTACTTTGCCGGTAACCTCCGCCACGTGTTCTTCTAAAAATTCTAGTGCTATAGCCGCCTCTTTTGCCTCTAGCAGGATAATTTGTTTTAGCTTGGTAATTCGGTTCGACCGTTTGTGGTACGGAAGTAACAATGGCCGATACATTACTTTCATCACATTCAGAACTAAAGTCAGACATGTTAAATTTACCAAATTGATATAAGAAACGATAGTTTTTACCTCAAAGATTGGTAATTTATAATAGATATGGGATAATACGCTTGAAGTATTAACTTTTTCACGACACAGTTTTCTTTTCAGGGGTGCACAAGATTCCAAAGGTGGCTTACTTGAGCCTTTACAGTTTACACAAATGAAAACAATTTATTAAAATAATCGGTAAATAAAAAAAAAACACAATGAGGGATTTTTCTGACAGCTATTAAAAAAAAGATAGTTCTAAAAGCTAAGATGAGATGGCGCTTGATCGCAAGGGGTTTTTTTTTTCTTGAATGGCTCTGGCACGGTTTGTGCATTAGCCAGCGTCAAGTATAAGATTTTTTATAATTCGTGCTTTTTGCCTAAGAAATTCGACCATGTCCATGTACGGTTAGGCACTCGCCCGGTACCGGACAACCCTCCCAAAGGCCGAGAACAAATTTAAATTAAATTAAAACTTGCCCTCGAACCGGGAGTCGAACCCGGTACCCCTCACGTAGCTGCCACTTAATAAGACCGCTAGGCTATGAGGCCCCCGATCGCAAGGGTTTACCTTTTTTTTCTTATTGCTTGCCACGGATAAAAACTTAGTGGTTACGCGAATGTTCTGTTCTACTCTGTTTTGTTATTATTACGACGACCCTGGCTTTTTCTTTGGACTGTTCTGGCTTCTTAACTCGAATGACCTTCGCGTGCACCCTGGACGTTTGCTTGCCGTTACGATTGACCCCTGCCTGTTTATTGAACTTCGATCTCATGATGAGTTTACCATCATCCGTGAGAAAAGATTACGGTTCTTGGTCTGTGTGAAAACGCAATGCAAGACTTGTTGGAAAAAAAGCGACGCTCGTCCAGAGGTATGTAGAGTTTGTTTCTGCAACAATACAAGGATCATGAAACGTTTTTCCATGATTTTAGCACCCAAAGTTGCCCAAAGACCAATCACAGTCAAATGCAAAAGCCAAAAGAAAAGAGGAAATACCACAGAATAAAATGCCAAGTCCCATTAAAAAAACAAAAACGAAAACATGAAAATGCCATCTATTGACTAGAGTCCTTTTCATGAAAGAAGTCCCGCGGAGATTTTTGGAACTAAATTTGACAGGTCGGCCATGTTGTCGTTTGTCGATGTTATCAAGTTCGTTTGTTGTGGTAGGTTTTTGTGAGTTTTTAACTAGCTTAGTGCATTTTAAAGATTGTTTACAATGTCAAAAGTTGTATAAAGTTCGGCTCGAGAAATGATATTGAAGGTGAAAGTGTTCTGTGAAGCAGATCAAAATAATCAAGGTGTTTTAATACCACTAAACAATGTTCAGAAGAGAGTAGCCGCCATAACAGGTACTTTTTAGAGTTGCCACATAATAACTTTTTGCTGTATTGATGGGACTTTTATGATATCAATTCATTTTGCGACAAGTTTGAACAAATAAATAACGAATGAAACTAAGTAACTTATATTAAAGCATATATTACATAGTACATAAGCATTATAAACTTAAAGTTTCTATTATTTTTAATTGTTCATTATTTAATTGAAGGTGTGTCAGAGAGAACTGTAACAAGAGTACTTCGAAAAAAATTGTTACCCCGGGAAGAGTCGCCCGCATCCGAAATAGTATCAATATAAAACAAGAACAATTATATCTACGGCTGGTGATACTGAAACGGAATCTGATTCTGTTTCCATCCACTCTTCAGACAGTGATGTTCCTATGGCCGCTGATCACAATTATTCAATAAAACTCTGAATAAAAAATAGAATTGCTTTTCTTTACCCTATTTTCTCATCGTTTCCCTGTAAGTAGGTAGAACACCACTAATATAATTAAATAAAAATATACTTTTTACAAAACAGAAATATTGTTTCATCGAAGTATGCAGAAAATAGTATTATTTGATAAATTACTTATGCTTAATGTAAAATAGGTAAATTTTTTACTCATAAATGGCAACATTACGTCATGCGATTACAGCGCTGCGTCTGGGGGACTTCTTTCATGAAAAGGTTTCTAATTTGGAACTACTTTTCTTAGCTGTCAGAAAAATCCCTCATTAAATATAACCAATGTTGCCAACTTAAATTTTACAAAGATTAAACCAACTCAATCCCATTACTTTGGCTTTATCTGATCTGTGCCTTAAAAGGACTAGCATAGAAGCCACGCTTAAATAGCAACGGAGATGGTGATCCTTTATTTATTAACATCATCCTAATAGTACAAGATCCGGCTACAAGATTAGTGCGATCATGTGTTATTTGCTAAAAACTAATTTTTGAAGTTATACTTCTTTAGACGCGTTATGAAAATTTGATGAGAGTGAAATTTTACGATGCGCGCGCACTGTGACACAAAATTAACAGAATGAAGTTGCCCACGGAAGATGCTACGGCATTGGACATAATTTAAAAACAACATTCGAATAATAATAGAATTTATGTTACTCTTAATGTAAGAGAATAATAATAAATATTTATTTATTTAATTTTTCAAATGTAAACTGAACTTTATTGACTATAATGACTCCTATTCTTTGATTATTTAATTGTAATTAATTATTTGCATGCAATCAAAAACTATTTTTAATAATGCCAAAGAAGTATAACTTCTTACGCGCGAACATAAGTACACGCACCCTTTTTTATGTACATTTATAATTAGGAGAATGTATATCTACCAAGGGGCCTATCAAAATTTGGCCGCTAGTATTTTTAATTAATTTTTAGGAACACATTTCGTTCACTTGTTATTTAAATAAAATATCGTCTACATCACGGCAATTTACATAAAGATTTTAAAAAATCACGGGTGCCATTGCCCACCTAGCCGCACTTCTTTGATAGGTAACTTGGTAGATATAGATTCTCCTAATTATATGCGCTTATCTGGTTTTTAGCAAAAACCAGATAAGCGCACTAATCCTGCAGCCGGATCTTGGACCATAATGCGTAGGAAGAAGATAAAACAATGTTTGTCGTGTTTTAATTTACATATGTTTCTGTTGGACTAACTTATCAATATTTTTAATTGATAGACGAAAAGATATCGAGAGGAATTACTAGTATTTGTAAATAAATAATTTTTTTACGTTTTTGATGCTTAATGTTTAGGGTTTTCATTATTAAATGAACAGATAGAGGTACACTTAGGATTAGAGGAATTAAAAGGAAAGTAAGCGCAACGAAAAAACTTATATCGCAGCTTATAATATTTTGTACAAAGACTTTTAAAAGAGTGACAGCTTCAAATTATAAATAATGCCTAAAGTTAAAAACTTTGTCACATTGACGAAAATTATTGGAACTAATTTCTTCAAATGGCAATAATCTTGTCAGTCGTCATCAGCTGTCAACATGTGGTGTCAGGTGTGCCGTGTGGTGACTGATGACAATTCGTTAATCGTTTGTTCTATTATGCGTTAAAATGGCGAACACTAATAGAAGCTAGCTGAGAAAAGTTATTTACAATAACGCAGTATTTGTCGGAAAGAAAGTCTGAAAGAATGAACTCTTAATAACATTACGGATCTTGAGCTAAATACAAAATCATTTTATGACAGTTTGACCCACTAACGCTAAACGAGTTTGTATGAAAATGGTCCCGTGATAGCGCGAATACCATACGTCATATAGTATAAATGTAATTATCCTAGTAACATTTACGGTAGACAGTTTTTACTTAAGTGTTATAGTTTTTTATAAAAATTTAATAACGGCTTGGCGTGGGGTGGGAGACATTACCCTGGCGTCGGGAAGAGACTTTACCCAGGGTAATCTCTCCCGTAATAATATTTTTTTATTTTATTGCAGATAATCATCAAAAATGCCTTTCAAATATAAAAAAAAAGAAACGTCTAGAACCAGGAGCAATTTAGATCTGTCAGTAATAAGAAATGCTATATGTGACATTGATAAAGGAAATTCTATTAGAGGTGTTGCTTTGGAATATGGAATTGATCGAAATACTTTACGAAATTATTTAAGAGACAGGTCCAAATTGACTAAAATAACTGAAAAAGGAAGTCAGTTTAAAACATCTTTGATATTTACGATCGAGGAAGAGAAAGCACTTGTTGACTATGTTCTAACTTGCAGCAAAATGAATTATGGCTTAACCAGACAGGCGGCTATGAAGCTGGCATATGAATATGCAACAATAAATTCTAAAAAGGTTCCAGATTCTTGGACTTCCAATAACTGTGCAGGAAAAGATTGGTTCAGAGGATTCATGACAAGAAACCCTGAACTAAGTTTGAGGACCCCAGAAGCTACCAGTTTATCAAGATCAACCACCTTTAATAGAAAAAACGTTGCTGATTTTTTTGACAACCTCAAAGAAGTTAGAGAAAGATTTAAATTTGAAGCTCATAACATTTATAACTGCGATGAAACGGGGTGTACGACTGTACAAGAATGTCCCAAAGTAATAGTGAGCAAGCATGTTCGTCAAGTTGGACAAGTAACTTCGGCTGAACGTGGCAGTCTTGTGACCGTTTGTTTCGCCGTGAACGCTCTGGGAAATGTTATTCCACCATTTTTCATATTCCCTAGGGTTAAATACAACGAATCCTTTGTAGCTAGTGGACCACCAGGCTCACAAGGTGACTCCTATCCGAGTGGATGGATGACAACCAAGAGTTTTGTAAAATTCATGGAGCATTTTGTCAAGTATTCGAAAGCGTCTGTTCAAAACCAAGTCCTGCTTATCCTCGACAACCACGAAAGCCATGTCAATATTGAAGTCGTCAAATACGCAAAATTACATGGAGTAACTTTGCTGACTTTACCACCCCACTGCAGCAATAAGTTACAGCCATTGGATGTTGCCATTTATTCATCTTTGAAGGCTAGATATAACTCAGCCATGAATAATTGGATGGTAAGTAACCCAGGACGAACTGTAACGATCTACAATATACCAGGATTTGTTAGCACAGTCATGTCTCAGGCTTTTAGCCAATCCAATATTTTGAGTGGATTTCGAAAAACTGGAATACACCCCTATAACCCGGACATCTTTACAGATGAAGACTTTTTATGCTTCTCGGTAACAGACAGAGAAATGACTGGTGAACTTCAACAGCAAGATGTTTCTTCGATTGCTTTTCCCTCAGTAGCTGCAGAACTACCGCCAGATTTAAATATGATCGAACTACCTTCATCATCTACTGTACAACGTCAATCAGAGCCTTCAACATCAGCATCAGTATTCATGAATGAAACTGTAGCGTCTAGGGCCAATTCACCATCAATTTTGATTGGGGAAGAATCTGAGCAGGCAATTGCAATCTTAGGAAAATCGGCAGAGGTAGCTTCTACATCTCAAGATCTGGAAATGACAACGGTAGATTATGATTCACGACAAAAACCAAAAATAGTTTTACCACAAATGATTCGTCCATTTCCAAAAGCTGCTCCAAGAAAAAGTCTTCGTCGTGGTAGACAGCCTGGAAAAACTAAAATTTTAACAAAAACGCCTGAAAAACTAGACCAAGATGATGATGCACCGACATCTAAGAAAATTAAAATAACTAAAAGAAACAAAAAGGTAAAACAAAGAAAAAGACTGTAAAAAGACAAGTTTTACAGTCAAGTGACAGTGAGACAGGCCTTAACGAAGAACCCAATTTTTATGACTAAATTTCTTTATAGAATTATAATTTGTAGTGATTATTTTGCTTATTTTTAAACCCGGGTAAAGGCTCCCTACTTGGGGGGTCAAGTCTCCCACCCAGGCGGGAGATATTAGCCGAATGTCACTTTGGTAAAATTGTAAATTACTCATAAACTAATAATGATGTATTAAACTTTCTTAGAAGAAAATATAGCTAAATAATGTAGCTTCAGATACAATTTATAAAAAATGGCGATTTGTAAGTATAGAAATATTTATGAGCATTTTAGTGGAAGGCGGGTAAACTCTCCCGGACTCCCCCTACGTGCAATGGAAATTGGCTAGTTAATTACCAATTATTCAATTCAAAAGTTTATTATAACCCAATCTACCGTCGTGAAAATACGAAGGGGCCACACGCTAGCTGTATTTTCTCTATTTAAAAATACTGATAAATAATACTGTATAATAAAATAAAACGTATTTATAAGGTAAATTAGTTTAATCGAAAAGAAAACGATTTACAAAATCGTTACTAGCTCCGATCTAAATGACTGCCAACCTATGTAAATTAAGATGCGACAAACATTGTTTTATGTCCTTTTTTGCATTACATTGGCGGTATAAAATAAAGGTCCAACATATGAGAATCCTTCCTTTTTCAGCGTCAGAAGTTACGCAACGTTTAGTTATTATTCTATGTATTATTCAGATTCTGTTCTTATTTAACAGAACATATTGTGGTTTAGGCTTTTTTACCATAATGATTTTCCAATTATGTAATAGACTCTTTGGTTCAAAAAGCATCTATTACTTATGACGTTTAGATTAAGTAAGCAAAGTGAATAAATCGTACTGATTAATTTTCTATCAATATTTAAGGTCTTGCTTTATCATCTTTGTAAATAAAGTAACTTAATTCAGCTTTAATTCCTAATGTTATACACTACTCCTACATCTATTTATTGCATAATTGCTACAGAATTTTGTGAACGATTTTCTTTTTGTGGATTGCGAAGTGAGTTCTTTATTATTAGCTTTTGCACTTTATTCTTATACGTATATATGAAGTCCTTTATAAATGGAGCATGCTCTATTTGGGGGTTAAAGTTTAACATTTAGATACATTTTTGTGTCCGTTTGGCCGATAATTTTTATTGGCAAGTTTTCAGTGTAATTAAACGTTTCAATTAATTAATAAAATTTAACTACTAAGAAAACAATATATCGGCAATTTAGGTAATTAGGAAACCATATATAATATAAAATTTGTTAACCGCTTTTAATATATTTAGGTTAAAAATAAATAATTTTCTCTGTGGATGAGAAGAGTCGCCCCTCGTAGCTAAACGGCCCCGGGTCGTTAGTTGGCGGGGAAATAAAAAAAAATTATATTGACTGTAGCGACACCTATCGTATAGTCTGCGCCTACAATCAGCAAAAAGATGTCATTCCCCAATCGCGCTTACAAAGTTATAATAAATTAATATTAATATAAACCAATCGCAAAGGATATATATACCAGATCTCGAACTTCGGGCCGGCTTGTTAGTATATTCATCATATTAGCCGTATTGGACTTGGAGTGGATTGGACAAGGGCGATGTTACATTGGCAGGTTCCTAAGACAAGTGCGGTTCTGGTAGTATAAAGAGGATGTTATACGTGCCCGTTTGTTTAAATTATTTAAATGATAATATTTTTCAGCTATTCTGTCCCTGTATTTACGAAATGTTCTTTGCCTACACGAGAATGCAGCTACAGTTGTTTATCATATCTTTATAATGATGTGCTATACTATGCCATTAATGGGGGCAGTTCTTGCTGATAATTTTATTGGCAGATATAAGTAAGTACTTTGCTAATTGACAAAATGAAATACCGAAAAATCATATAAACTGTACAGTCTCGCTTTTTTTTTTTTTATTGATCCTTTCAAAAATCCCAAAATTGGCCATTGGTTAAAAAATCTGTCGGTTGACATTTACATCTTCTGTATAAGAACTATTCTATATTACTATTATTCTTTAGACATCTGACTGGAATTATGGATCCGTCCTTAGTCTCTTGGGATTTACGAGACCACACATCTCCTGTCGGATACATTCACGATACTATTGTATGTTAGTAGTCTCAGCTGACTTGTTGTATTCATTCTAAATAAGCCTTATACTTACAAAACAAAAATAAAATAATAATATTCCGATGATAAAGTAAATACTATATATATTTAAAGTCTCATTCCATAGCAAGCTATCATCCGCGTGCCAGATGACAAAGGCCTCTCCCAGTCTCCTTCATTCGCTTATATTGCGCACCACGAGCCGTCAAAATTTCCTATTATGCTTGTAGATATATCATCCCTTCGTATGTGGTCGTCCTTTACTACACTCGATAGCGTGGACACCATTCCGTTTATCATTACCATTTCTCCTTTCATTTCTCCATGGACCATTTCTGCTTACTGCCTCATATAACTTGCCAAAGTTCTTTTTCCAATATTATCTATATTACAAAATAAGGCCAATTAGTTTCGTGCTCGTTATAATAACGTATTCAGTAACTTGGTTTGACCAAATTGAATAGAGAGTGTCATAGGTTCGTTAAGCTTTGCCGGACATTATACGTATAATAGTATCATTTCAATAGCGAAGAGCCTTGTGAGTTGTAGTCGTAAGTTTAATTGGCGCCTGCCTGGAAAAGCCACTGAAATAGGACCGCTTACAATTAGCAATATTGACTGATATTTCACAGAACATCTCTTATCAGAGAATTTAAATTTTGTTCTTATGAAAACAGGTAACCTACATTGGGTGGCTGTGTTTGTTTCAATGATAATTTTTCTTTTTCTTATGCTCTGTGGAAATAATTATTGTAAACACAATTAATTTGAATAAGGCTCCAAGCTAACTGACATTCTATCTTATAGAAGAGAAGAATAATAGTATATTCTAAATGTATTCTGTGGACTGTGACTCTTATTGTGACGTGTATTCTTAAAACACAACACAACTTTAGTTAAAAGCGACCAATTTAGTTTTATGTATATGCAATAATAGAAGCTTATCAGGCTATTTTGTACAAACGTGTAATGTTTGAATATTAATGTGCTAACCGAATGTCCAAACAAATTAGTTTTAAATTTTTTCACAGAGTAATTTTGTACTTCTCCATTATATATCTCGTGGGAACTGTTTTGACGTGTCTCTCTGCAATACCTCCGTTAATGTTGCCACCTACGTGAGTATAAAATATGTAAATAATAAAATCATACTTTAGTTTACTTATAATTAGTTATTAAATAGCTGAAGTCGACGAACGCATACAGATTAATTTATAAATAAATTTTAGATTCCTATTTAGACTTAACCGATTTTTGCGTTGTCTTTAATCTCTGACTTTATGTCAAGTGAATCGTGAGGCGTATGTTTCATTATTATTTATAATACATAAATACGCAATGTTTCCAATTTAAACGTTTTGCAACGAAAGCAAGTCCAGGAAGTAAACTGATTCACGAAGAAATGCTTACATTTAAATCGGTTAAATTTTTTAAGCGCAAACTGGTAACAGATAGATTGAATAATGTCAAAGTTTTGTTTGACATTTAAACATAAAGTGCTGATATGTAACTTTATAATTACTTCTAGGAGCGTCGATTTCTCAAGGTACAATTCTAGTTAGTTTTTTCACTTGAGAGCAAAGCTAAGTATGCCGTTTACATGCTTATACAGGGTGTCCCAAAAGTCGACGTCAAGTTGAAATTTTCTCATAGGTAATGCCACACCAGTTATCAGAAAAATTAAAAAAAAAATTAAGTCATGTATTTTTGAAGTTATATAAATTTTCCTTTTATTCCAGAAAATGTACACCATGTGACAGTTTTTTCATTCCTGTTGTTATAAATATTTACTTTTTGCCAATTTTTTTCTCTTACGTCATCCCGAATAGTGCTTTATGTAATCTATTATCCTAAACCCTGTGCCAATCACTCCAACTTGTAGGAAAATGTCATTTTATACCGTACCAAGTATTCAAAATTAATTTTCGCACTAGTTCAACTGATCGTCCTGAAAAAAAAATGTACTACTCCAGTTTGGCAAGCAGCTTTAAAAGTTTGCGCATTTAATAAGGATTCTAACGTGGTATAATACTTACTTCATTATTTCTTAGATCGGCCATAAAAAAAAATTTTGTTAAACAAAGTCTGTTTTTTTAAAAATTTCTCTGGCATTACAAAAAATAGTGTACCCAAAGCGTTCCTAATAACCACAGCGTGGTTTAAATAAGATGGCGTAAAGTGTGAATGAGACAGATAGTGACGCTACTTATTGCTATTGACACACGCACTACAGGTCAGTACGCAACGCTCCTTCGTTTACTACGCATCTTTTCGTATTCGCTGGTGTTATTTTGTGTTCTAACTACTTTGGCTTCGTTTACGGACTTGTTTGCTTGTGATTTGGATTTTACATTTGTGATCTACGACGACCTTTACTTTTCCCTGGACTTACGTGTTATTGTGTATTTGTACCATACCATGGCTACGTACACTACACAGGAATATGCTAACATGCACCTCATTTATGGGGAATGTTTATGTAATGCCAGTGAAGCCGCTAGACGGTATCGCGAGAGATACCCTAATGCAGATCGCTATCCGGATCACAGAGTTTTTACCAATGTGCACCGTCTACTGTTCTCTGAGGGCCGACTGCCAAACCAAGTGCACGGTGAAGGTAGAATTTCACTACCCTACGAGGCAGTTGTCCTTCAAGCAGTTGATGAGGACCCAAGTTGTTCGGTACGTGGAATTGAGGCCAGCACAGGTGTGCCCAAAAGTACAGCTCACCGAATACTACAAAAAAATAAGCGGAAGCAGTAGAATTTGTGAATAATGGACGATTTGCCCGCTTCATTTCACGATCTTTTTTAAGGAGATGTCGAGCCTGTATTGCAGCTGAAGGACGGCAATTTGAACATCTTTTATAAAAAAAGTAATAAATCTAATCATAAAAAAGAAACTGTCTATTTTACTTATTTACGTCCGTATGTCATAAGCGTCATTATCTGTCTCGCTCACATTTTATGGAATGTCTCTCTCCATCTTATTTAAACCACGCTGTGGTCATTAGGAACGTTTTGGGTGCGCTAGAATCATTTGTTGTAATTTCAAAGAGATTGTTAAAAACAGACTTTGTTTAACAAAAAAAAATTCTTATGGCCGATCTAAGAAATAATGGACTCAGTGTTATACCACTGTAGAATCCTTATTAAATGCGCTAACTTTTAAAGCTACTTGCCAAACTGGAGTAATACATTTTGTTTTCAGGACGATCAGTTGAAGTAGTGCGAAAATTAATTTTGAAAACTTGGTACGGTATAAAATGACATTTTCCTAAAAGTTGGAGTGATCTGCACAGAGTTTAGGGTCATAGGTTACATAAAACACTATTCGGGATGACGTAAGAGAAAAAAAATTGGCAAAAAAGTAAATATTTGTAACAACAGGAATGAAAAAACTGTCACATGGTGTGCATTTTCTGGAATAACAATAAAATATCTATAACTTCAAAAATACATGACTTATTTTTTTTTTCTGATAACTGGTGTGGCATTACCTATGAGAAAATTTCGACTTGACGTCGACTTTTGGGACACCCTGTATATATGAGTTCTCTATATTCGAACGTGCACTTCGATTCTAACTTGAACGGACGTCGTTTCATATGAACTTACACAAACTTTAAACTTGCTTTAGAAATTTCCTTGAATATACTTCCTTTATGTATAGGACAACTTCTATAATTGGTTTGGCTTTAATAGCTACAGGCACGGGTGGAATTAAACCTTGTGTAGCAGCTTTCGGAGGCGATCAGGTAACATTTTTTACTAATTAGTTATTTGTTTGGTGATTTATATATATTCATATTAGTATATGAATATGTATGAGTCTATATGTCCCATACATAGACAAGGAAGGATCTGCCTTGTGTTGTCTGCGCATATTATAGAAACAAAGCAGGTGCACAGCCCGGATTCGAACGTATGACCTTAGAGACGAAAATATTGGGTCGATGGTTGGGCCTGTATATCCTAAGAACTCAGTGGGGGCGCAAGCATTAAACTTGGCAACTAATGTTATACATGTATAAATTATTATTAAGATGACCCATTCACGCAGTTGTTTACTAGTGGTTTTTGTATGAATTTAATCATGAGTGCTTTGTGAAATTTTCTTGAACTCTACAATTTTTATTTACGCTGAATTTATTAACAAAATACAGCAGGTAATAATGTTTAGTATTATTATTAATTATTTTATGTTGTCCTGGAATTTACGTTAGTTTTCATATAGAAGAGCGATAAATGAAGATTTTGTATTTTCTACATAGTTTCGGCTGCCGGAGGAGAATCAACGCTTACAACGATTTTTCTCAACGTTCTATTGTACCGTAAACCTTGGAGGGTTTATGGGGACGATTGTGACACCAATGTTAAGACGCAGTATCATGTGTTTTGGTGACGATACCTGCTATGCCCTTGGATTTGGCTTTCCCTCCTTGCTTGTCCTCATATCTATTGGTTGGCTTTTAATTATATTACTCAATATTTCAACTTAATGCTAATGCAAATTGTAATGAAAGGCTATTTCACATATTTCTATAGCATAATGTCTCTACTTTAGAGGAGCATCGCGACTGATGCTCCGTCTATTTATTTGGATGAGCGAGCTATTCAAGAGATTTGCGGTCAGTCTAGAGTCCTTTTGACGTAAGTTTAGGGAGTCGGACATTTTGATTATGGCAACACAGTACAGTTATGTTTATCTTAATTATTAAAATTTTCTCTTTATGAGGAAAATTATTTTAATGAGGGTGGTCGTGCAAGCCTTGTTGTACATACCTCCACTAAATCCAGGACGTAATAGAGTAGGCTTAGACCGAAAGTACCAATAAACATGTAAATTAAGCGAGACAGGTATGTCAGGACCGTCGCAAGAGGAGACCATGGATCCAGTGGCGTAGCAAAGGGGGGGCGGTCCGCACCGGGTGTCACCTTTTTTGGGATGACACCCACCCGATATCTCAACTTTAAGACCAATGTACAAACAAAAAAAAAATCGCTAGCATAAACATTTCTTTAATTTTATATTATTATTTATAATATAATAATTTCATATTTCTAATATTTTAATTGTATAACAATTCCTTTTCTGTCTTAGTTATTATTGTTTTGTTATTTCTTCAATATTATAAATAATAATTGATCCATGTCCTTTATCATATAAAATGTATTGCTTTTTACTTTCGATGGGGTGACACCACCAACTTCTACACCGGGTGCCACCCAAGGTAGCACGCCACTGCATGGATCTCCCATGGTCTCCTACCCTTTCGGGAAAATGTTTAATAAATATTTAAATAAATTATACTTTCGCTAGAATTAATGTGCATGGCATTTTACACTTATACAACATCCATGAAAGGCATAAGTTTATCCTTACGAAGGCTAGATAAATGAGCATAATAGAATATAAACCTTTCTTTTATAGTGACGTTCGTCGCTGGGAAGCCATGGTATAGAATAAAGAAGCCGCGAGATGCAATAACCTTCAGGTTTCTAGCCTGTACATGGGTGAGTAGCTTTTGTATATCCGAAAAAACAATTGGGTAAAACCAAATTTTATAATTTTAAGTAGTTGTTTTGTTCAACTGTGCATTTAGAGAAACAAAAAGAGAAGTCAGTGATTTTGTTTAAACAGAAATTAGCCTTTGTTAAGACGTCGTATTCGGGGTAATTTATTGCAATTTCCCTACGAAATACGGAAAATTAAGGATGAGACCAAAAGTTCATTCATGGAAAAAAACGTTGGCACAGCCAAGCTTCGAAATCACGACCTAAAGTTGCATTATTTACCACTTAACATTTCTCAAATACTTCATATTTATTAAAATGCTGCTTTATCACAATTGGTCCAACACGTTGAAAGATACAGACAATAAAAGGTGCACAGAATATATTCTACTTTTTAAATCTAACTTTGAGAAATCACGTTCAACCATATTACGTAGTGTTTACAAAGTTTGATTACATTCACGTATGTACACAAAATATTATCAACACAGCGCTCCAGCTGAGCATAGGATTTATAAAGTTTACGTTAACTCGATTATACGAAACCTATTTACCTAATAACATTTCACTAACAATGTAATCCACTGTAATCTATCTGCCCAACTCATCTCTGTGTCTGATGACCACAATTGACTTACACATTTGAGATGACACTGGAAGAGTGAAATGTCACTCAGCAACGTCCTACAATCTCTTGGTTGTCGTACCAAAGCGGTATCGAGAGACTTTAAAAGTTCAAAAGCTGTTAATAACTATCGGCCCGGTCCGATATTCAACTAATCCGAGGCAATACTTCATCCAAAGCGTATAGTCGTTGGAAAACGTCTGTTTTATAACTAGTTGAGATTCAATTAATCAAAATCCAAATACAATCATTATAAACCTCTCCAAACTAATACAAATCTATTGTCAACGTAATTGGCTTAAGAAACAATAATTCAAGTGGTTAATTAACAGGAATGAGTAATTTAGTTTATATTATGTATATAACGCCTCTATGAATTGATAGAATCGAAGTTCGAGACTACAATCTAGAGATAACTATTTATCGCCACGCAACATTCAATTGAGGTTAGGTACCAATTAAATGTGGTATAAGAAAAGCTGATCAAGGCAGATCAATCATTTATCACCAAGAGTTGTTAAATACTAGGATTTAATAGTAATAGATATTACTGAATATAATATTCGTTATAATATATCCATGCGGTACCAGTGAGAGATTAAATTCCGTATCGAGATTTAGTGCTAATTATGACTTCCGCATTCAATATGCTTATATTCAATACGCTTTTGAAAGCGCTTAGTCTCGACCCTAATTCTCACCTTTAGTGATCAAGAACCAAGTGCGCAATCATTTTCATAAATAAATATGAAACTACGATTTAGTATCGACAATAGTGTCAAAAATATAATGCCTGTTATTATTGTTTAGAGGCCCGCAATGTGGGAGACACGTTTCTACGTCTGTCTCATTTATAGTTTTTTAAAATACGCCTGAACTCACAAAAATATTGTTGTGTACTGGGTGTACACAACAGTAATACACAACATTGTATAAAATTTTGGTCAAAATTTGCAAATTTTATGCTAAAGAATACATGATTAATATAATGCCTGTTTATGATAACGTTAACATTTTTCATACAATATTTAGTTTACTATTCTATTCGAACGATGCATTCTTTTCAACTACACGGGCTTCCGTGTAGAAATACGAACACAAAGCACTTTATATGTTTTCCATAATATCGTTTCTTTTCTATTACGCTATTCAATTTAATATATTGTTCCCGATAGTTTACAGATTCTACATTTCATAAATTTTCAGTTCTTATATATTAAATTGTTGAACTTGAACAAATGAATTAGACACTAGGTGTCCCGGCGAACTTCGTGCCGCCTAACTGTCAAAGAATGCCCTGTTACAGTTTAGCTGTACTTATTTATGATTTTATGAAAGTAATACAACGAATACAAAATAAATATTAAGTTCACTACTATATCCTATATAATAATATACGTTGTATATTTAAGTAGCTTGATATATTTTCCTTAGTTTACACAATTATATTTAGATATTTGACAACCAAAATATATGTCCTTTTTCATTACTGACATTATAATACATTTTTAAAATCTAAAATACGCCATTATCCGAATGTTGTGGTTATTTATTCTCGTATTCGAGTAAAGACAAATACAACATATCAAAACCTATGAATCGGTCCAAACGATCGATCAGCCTCTACTTTTCACATACTTTTCACAGACTTTTCACTCTGCTTTCCGTTCACTAGCTAAGCGTTAGATAGGGAAGCGCTATGAGGTGTGTAGTATATTATTATTACGCTTCAAACACAAATAATTTCCTTAAGTTCCTTTTATATTTTAAAATCTCCTAGCCCTGTACCTCCCCCTGTAATTTTATTTCTTCAAGAAACAACTTCTCTAAAAGAACTTCTTTATGGTGCCTTTATCCTTATAACAATTGTGGGTATGCCTAAATATATTATAATATAATAAAAAACTTATTGGTCACATTCAAATATTATTAATGATCGGTTAACGGTGAGGCGTCGTAGGTTTAGGTCGCATCTATCATTTCATTGTGATTTGCGCAATCGGTTGTACATCAATCAATTCCTATGTATACATGTAAAACAGGAATATATACCTGTTCTATTGAGAAATAAATACAATGACGATTTTGTTACTAAAAAATGTAGTAGAACCATTTCTTTTTTTTAATTCGGAACTACAAATACAGGTTGTTGGAAACAATTTTGCGTTTATACTGTTAGCTTTTGAATTTAAAGTTCGGAGTCCATTCGACCGCGTATGTGTGGAAGCTGAAGCAGCGGAACAGTTTTCGCTCGTCCAAGTCATGTTTCCACTCATTGTATTAATTAAATATGGGCACCGCTACACGCGAAAAACGTTGAACTAATGTTTATCACCGCTATGACGGCCGTCATGCAAATGACAGAACCGCTATTTAACGTTACGGTGACACTCAACGTTTCTGTAGGAAACCTCCTCCGATGTTATTTATAGACAACGTATGGGTGACGTCACCCAACGCATCATTACGGCGTTATTAAGCGGTGCCGTTATCTAATTATGGAAACCTATGCTTTAGTTTCTGGGCTTTTCTTACCGTGATCTTCACCATAATCGGTGGGCGGAAAAGTTCGTAGGCTGACAATGTTTTTAGTTAGCCCTAACCTTCAAAAGACACGTGTATAAACTTGAAACTGTCGTACTATTAGTTTGTGAGATAGTATTTTTAGTGAAGGAACTTTTGCTTGTTTAAAGAAATGGATAAAAGGAATTTGTTTTTGGCGAAAATAAATACTAATGAAAGCAAGGCTTGGCTTGATAAACATTATTCGAGGCGAAATGGGCAGCATGTAGCTTTTACAAACACAATCATGTAAAAAATATAAAACTTTCTATCTGACCTACAATATTTTAGAAGGATTTAAATGCATTACTCTTTTGTTTACCCTCTGAACGTATGTTTTAATCTAGCTTTAATCTTCGTTGCACATCGTAACAACAAACGAAACATAATCCTTTCGTTAAAAGCCCATTTCTATTCATTTCTCGTAATTAGAAATTTTGGTTTGTATAGCTAAACAGGTCTGGCTTTGCTAACTTAGTAATTTATGTAATATTCAATCATGTGCATTTTTAAGAAGTAATAATTCTATCTGTATCTCATGTAATGCTATGAGGCTACAAAATAACGTACATAATAGTAGGGGAGCCCAAGCGGGGATTTCGGGATTTACTAAAGCGCGGCAGATTAATATACAGGGGGATACCTTGTACCCGGTTAAGTACCTCCACAAAACATGAGGCCGCCCGTGAAGGATACAGGATCAGATTAGTAAAAAAAAATTGACCATCAGAAATTCTCGAGCGCGTCAGATTAAGATAGGGTGAGTTAATTACATCCTAAAAAGTGTATATTCCACTAATCTGACAATTTGAGAGTGACGTAAAAAAAGGGGAGGGCAACAAAGTTGTAAAAAAAAACATCATCTCGACATTCTCGAATTCTTTTATTTTGAAGGAAATAATTCAAAAATAATAATAAATATATTGAGGCATTGATGCTATCAATATCTGACGCGGTCGAGGATGTCCATGCAACAGTTATTTTTTACATATTTAAAAATCTATAGCCGCTTCCCCCACCGATGTAAAGGTATATATCATTTAGCATTTTTTTCTTCTTATCATCTAAGCTTTGCATCCCAATAGGTCTCTACGACGCTCGAGTAAATCCCCATTTAGCATCGTGGGCTCCCCTACTATAATTAAAGGTAATTTGAACTATTTCAAATTACCTTTAATTAATTATTGATTATTTATTCATATTATCTACACACGTAGACATTTTAATATATTACAAGTTAGTAAATGTTATTAGAAGGTATTAGTGGAATTAATACTGTTACGATATTCATGAAATCAACGCAAAAGCTTGTTGCGACAGGAAATGGTGAAACTAGCTCGAATAATTAGCGAGATCCTTGATTTATTTTTTATACTGAGCAAGAAAGTCTTACTAATTAAACATTTTACCGGGAAATAACTGATCTCCTAATTTCATTATCCTTGTGTTTTCATTAACACAATTTTATAGAAAAAACATTGCATTAAGATTTGTATTTAATTAACCACCTACGTACATTTTACCTTACAAACATTTTTAATTAAACAGAGTGATAAAATTCAAGATGTTATTTTATTTTAGAGACAAATTCTTTTAAAGTTCAATATTGACTTAATTAAGACTAATGAGTATTTTTTTGTTTAATTTGCTAATTATTAAGTTCAATTAACATCGTCTATAATATTATTTATACTATATTATAGAATATACATTTATTAAAATGCATTCATGCCTGATTGGGCGTGTTCTGGGTTTAAACAACCAAACCGTTTTGTTCCGGAAGTTGATGGCGAAATTTTTGTATGAAGAAGTATGTATATATTAGTTCGTTAAATAAATGTCATTTAGAAAAGATGTATATGTTTATTTCATCAAATATTTTTAATAAAATATTAAATTTTAAATACAATGATTATTTGCGTGAGACACTGTATTTGATATAAATGTAATAAAGTATGATATAATATGTACGATCAGGGCCGTCTTAAACTAGGCTGGGCCCTTGGGCACACACAAATTTGGGCACCTTTTTGAAAAAAAAAAAAAAGTGTCCGTGTACTTATGTACGCGCGTAAGAAGTTATACTTCTTTGGCAATATTAAAAATAGTTTGGCTTTGTTCCACCTCCAGTTTTTGATGTTTCACAGCGATAAGATGAAAACTCTTTTTTTTGTATTCAATTTAGTGCAGTTACACTGATTCATCAATTGTTTTTTGTCTCTTTTCCTTATATTTGCTAGATAAAATCAGAAAAATTACATGTTTTGATTAAACAATGTGGTTAATTTTTTAATCAAAACATTACTCGATAATAATAATAATACATACGGATAGTTAACCTCAATTGTATTGAAGCACTTAGGAAGGTTGATGAGCACAGTTTTTTCACAAATATTAATTAGTATTGGTTTAAATATTCAATTTAAATCACTTCTGATTATAATTCAAAAAGCATCGCTAAATTTCTTTGAAAAAATAATTAAAACTCCTTTATTTGTTTAAAAGGTAAATGACAAATGTCATTATGGTCATTCAAAATTGTTGGCATACGAACTTCACGCATATTCTATTTCTTTTTACTTGTAGATTGTCTTATTCCTATCTCGCTCGCGCACGCTATAATCACACTCCTAATTTTGTGTCACGGGTGCGCGCGCATTGTAAACTCATAAATTTTTCATAACGCGCCTAAAGAAGTATAACTTCAAAAAGGTTTTTTTTTAACTTTTTAACTTATATCTCCTTGAATTTTGGATTTATGATAAAAAGTCAGATAGACATAATTGTAGGCAAAGCGATTTGCTACAAAATGTGTCATGTTAATTTTTTTGTACAATGGATAGTTTAGGAGTTTTACTCGACAAACATACAACTCGCTTCGGGTGCAGTATAATAAACTCAAACTCAAAGTACAGGTAGGTCGCATCGATGTTCGCAGTACTTCGCTGATTTAAGTTATTTGACAATGCTTTTCAAAACTTGCTGTCCCATTAGATTAATAGATCCATTACAAATATTTGCTGATATATATGATGTACTTCCTTTTCCACGTATTCCGCAGTTTTGTATGTGATCAGCGAGAAGAGGATCAAGTTCACAAATGAGTTCTAAGGATCCCAAATAATTCCCATTATTTCGCGATCCTTATGTCTCATAATCACCACGAAAAGCAAGACCAAAAATTTCACTACTGCAACAATACTCCTAAGCACATTCTTCCAATCGTTAATTTCTGTATTATATTGGGACAGCCACTCAGTATCAATTCGTCCAGTAAATTTCATTCTTGCAACGTAATTCATCATAAATTCCCTGAGCTGTAAACTGTTCTCATGCTTTATCAATAAGTTACTTATATGCTTCCAATCTTTATATCCATTAGAAGAACTTAAATTATGTTCAATTCCAGTAGTAGTAGTATAGCTTTTATTCTTTTATGTTAACCATTTAAATATGTTCATAATTGCGTGAGTGATCGCTAGATGATTTAGGTATCTATTCTAGGTATTTACGTAGTATATACCTTCTGATAAGATTACTGATTTTTGAAAAAAGTGTAATGTGCCCGACAAAATTGTTTTGAGAATTAATATGTATGAGAAATTTTCGGTCCTTCTGGCCCCCCTGAGAATGAGGGCCCTGGGCACGGGCCCCGTGTGCCCTTATGGTGAAGTCGGTGTTGTGTACGATACAAATAATATAAGAATTGACTTTGACTAATAATGTAAAATGTAAAATTCCTTAAGACAAATTTGTGCGCCATTGTGTGTGGCAGAACATGCGGTCTTACGACTGTACCACCTTACGCATTTTTGTACCATATTTTTGCAGTAAATAAATTATTATTATAACATACAAGTACAAACAATGCATTTACACCTAAAAATGATTAGTAAAATAAATATACATCCATGTTCCATTGTGACTTCCGAAATCGCCATATTTTTTATATACCAATTCGACTTAGGGTCCTATTCAATCTATCCAAGTCTATCCAAGGAAAGAGCATACCATTTCTTAGCCTCTGGCAATATGAGGTAACACTTAACATCAGGTGAGCCTCCTGCACGTTTGCCTCCTGTTACATCAAAAAAATACATATAATTTTTTAACCACTAAAATTTAGTCCCGGTTTCGCAGTGCTGGCAAATTTATTTAATTAAATATATATTTTAGTAGTTTAGTTATAGTTAGACATAAGTTATCGATAACTTTCTTATAGATATTGATGTCTTCTATAAAACTGTGATTTATCACTTCGAACTATTTCCAATAATTTTCACAGCTTACGCGAAATAGTTTGAATTCAATGAAACTATTTAGTTTATTTAGTTATATCGTATCAGTAGTGTTGAAGCCTATATGAAAAAAAACAATCAAATCAAATATAGATATACATATGTAATATAAGTGTAGATGCCGTTCGCTACTGATACTCAAAGTATTTTTTCATATCGTTGCTATCTATGTTACGAAAACGGCCAGACGGCATTCTAACTAGTGGCGTATTATATATGTTGTGTCCTGTTATAAAATTAATTGAATCTAAATTTGTAATAGCTAATTTATATTTGAAATTGTTATAGTACGCATTGAAGAAGCGCCTCCAACATGACAGGAAGACAGATGGCCCGCCTCCAGAACACTGGCTGGACTTTTCCGTCACAAAATATGGACGTAAACTCGTTGAAGATATGAAAATTGTGTGTTCCATACTCTATCTATACATACCCGTTCCAATATTCTGGTCCCTCTTTGATCAACAGGTTGGTTTATTTTTAAAATTCGTTGTAACAAGTTGAAAATTTAAAATAAATTTTAGATGTCTAGGATACTTCCCGTCATATTTATATATACTTTTAGGATATATTTTATTAAATTTTATATTTAAACATACACTTAGCGTAAAGCACTGAGCTTCTAGGTTAAATTCGCAGCGAAACGATATAATTTACGGCTCGTAGGCACAGAAAGCTTCATGCATAAAATTAAAGGAATGCCCCATGGCCTATTGATAAATTAATATAAAATAAAACAAATTTAATAAATATTATATATAAAAATTATAAAAAAAACCTTTACAATGTATCATAATGGCGCAACAGCCCCTTTTCATTTTCATTTTTCGTGTAATATTATTAGGACTAAAATAATGCTATTGTCCTATTATGGAGACTAATAAGAGTTTTAAAATGTACCGTACTACGTAAAAGCCGTCTTCAACATGTTCCATAAATTTACTGATGCCACGTGATATTTTCAACAAAATGTTTTGATATTTGGCATAACATGAGAGGATAAACGTTAACTCTTTAGCCCTGCTATTCTGTAACTCACTTTTCGAACTCATATAGCGGTTTTCACAGCGGCGGTCGCGCTCAAATCAGTCGTAAAGCAGTCATTTTACGATTTGGCATTCTGATAAACAATAAACTACAAGCTCCCACCTTTTCAGAATGCCAAATCATAAATGACTGCTTCACGACTGATTTGAGAGCGACCGCCGATGCGAAAACCGCTGTGTGAGTTCGAAAAGTGAGTTACAGAATCGCAGGGCAGTACACTTTGGAACAGTAAGCGTTTAGTTTAAACATATTTTATGTATTCAGTTCAAACAACTCCAGTTGCACTAATTCATTCTGCTCGCCACTCTACCCAATCCATTTTTAGAGAGCCGGCACAGTTTGCATCTTTTTGTGCGCAAAGAATGAAACAACCGATTGATTGTATGAGCTACCTAGACCCGGTACTTCATGTGTAATCAATTGTATTGTATACTATACATATTTGTTAAAATTCATTAAAGCGCCAAATTATGACTTAGCACTTTTTTTTTCTATTTCAATTTCTGAACCGTTTTGGGTATTAATAACTTGTATCATATTAGGGTTATTATGTTGCCTATATTCTGATTCTTATTTTAATCCGGTGGTAAGAAACATAGTTTTCCAGTAAATCTCATTAATCGATTAAAGCCCATATAACATCGATCTTGGTAGTCTTTATTTCAACGGACTTCTTTCTCTTCTTCTTTATCAATTTTGCGCGCTATAAAGATAGTGCTTATAAAACCAAGTGATATCTGCGTGAGGCAATAGACGGCGCTAGCTCTTATAAAACATATTTCAATACATTTATGATTTTAACTTTACTAGCTAGGTAGGTCATCATTGTTTCGACTTATCAAAATTATGTTTTCCAAGACCATTTTACAGATTAAAAAATCAATTGCGCCACAACCTTTTTAGGTCTGATATCTAATAGGCAAGTAGGTGATCAGCCTTCTGTACCTGACGCACGCCTTCGATTTTGGGTCTAATTCAAGCTGGTTTCCTCACGAGGTTGTCCTTCACCGTTCGAGCGAATGTTAAATGCACACATAGAAAGAAAGTCTATTGGTGCACAGCCAGGGATCGAACCTACGACCTCAGGGATGAGAGTCGCACGCTAAAGCCACTAGGCCAACACTGCTCAATATTCGAGATTAATTATAAAAATACCCAATTCGCGTCGAGCGTTATAACATTTTAAGAATTTCTTCGATATCTCCACGGTCAGGTTATAAAATCATGATGAACATTGGACATGGGATGATAATGGACCACTTGGGAGGCCTTTAAAATAATAAGAATCTAAACGAAGCTTTCAAAACCTGTACGTACTCTAAAGTCTAAACAGATGTGTTTTCTCTAGGGTTCCCGTTGGACGTTCCAAGCTTCGAGGCTGCGAAGTGAGCTGTTTGGGGTAGCTCTAATGCCTGATCAGTTGCAAGTCATGAATCCTGCAATGGTGCTTTTTATGATACCAGTGTGCCCTGGTGGAGCATGGCCGCTCTTACCCGATCTTCAACCGCTACACAAAATGTTTCTTGGTGGGATACTTGCTTCTTTGGCTTTCGTCGCAGCTGGCATTCTGCAGATCGGTATTGAGGTAGGAGAACTAATATTAAGAAATAAATTTCTTTCTACTCCTGCTCAGAACCCTTTCACAATATTGTCGTGTTTGTTATATACAAAATGTATAGTCGTAATATAGTTTGAACCCAGTCAAGATTATTTAGGACAAACTTGCAGTTTGATTATCTTTCCAAAGTCCATTATCAAGTTTATACAACACGTACGACATAATAACTAATTTCCAATAGCGTTCAACTCTTCAAGTACCAGGGCACCAGCAAACCGGACTGGTTTTATTGAATACTCTGGCATGCCCCATAGAGGTTGCGGTTAGAGGTGAAGGTATAGCACCAGTCGAGGAGCAGGGAACAGCTCTCATGACTCCTCTTGAAAGCCAACGGTTTTTTATATCAGCCAGTTGTCCCCTGGACTGTGCTGGAAGGATCATGAAACGACATATGATTACAGCACAGCTTAATACGGCACCTGAAGTGGTTAGTGCTGTTTTATGAGTCGTAGAGTTACAGACCGAAGTTGCCAAAGGACTCCGCTGCTAAGAGTATTAATGCTTGCTTTACCTACACATTAATATTGATTTAAGAGCTGTAAATGTTAATTTAGAAGCTTTTATGACTGTTCATAACTGAACATTTAGTATAAATTATATTTTGATTTCAATAACAAATAATATAGAACAAGATAGGGCTAGCGCGCACAGGTGACTTTTGTCACCGTGACTGTTTCCTCACTCATAACAAGTCTGTGGATATGTGTGGAGCTGGGAGGAATATGCGCGCATGTTACGATGTGACAACTGGGTGACATTTATGTACGCCGACCAGCGAACAAGCCCATGACGAAACTGTCACCGCGCCGTTCGGTTTTCATGCAGTGCGCGCACGAGTATAAAAATTGTCACTCTCAGCATCGTTCGTTCGCATTTGCCTTCCGATTCTCGACTTTGGTGCAGGCAAAATAGCGTCATCATCTACATGACATCATTAAAAGATAAAAAATAAATTTTTTATCTATCTAATTTTTTGAAAAAGATAAAAAACTGAAAGACTACTCGGACATTAATTTTAAAATTCAAGCATGGGAAGAGAACATAGTGTAGAACTTTCCACTTAGGAGCCTGTGACTCCAAAGGCGTTGTACCCAGTACTCTTTTCGCTTCTTTTTTTTCTTCTGAGTCTGATGAGTTCACAGACAACGATCGTTTCTTCGAAATCCATATCGGCAAAGGACGCTTCGATTTCGAAAAAGTTTTGTCACTGTCACCCTTCGTGAGCGTACTCAACTTTAGAAACAAGACGTGACAATGGCAAAAACTTTAATGTAACGGTGACAAAGTAACCCGTGCGCGCTTAGCCTTATACATTGCTACTATGAAAACGTAAACAAAGACTCATAAACGTCGCGTCGAAATGGTTTGATTTATACATTTTATAAACATCACTCAGTTTGTCCCATGAAGTATAGAACTCTATCCTTACTACAAAATGGAACAACTGGGTTATAATTGTGTACTTTCAGTTTATGCCTATTATAGTGGGACAAAACTCTGACGACGAAATCTCTTTATATTTCATGGATCCAAATCCTTTCATGAAATCTTTAACGGGGAAACCCAAATTAAAGTAAGTAACTACTTAATATACTAAACATATTTTTTTTATTAACTATAACTGGGAAGGTGAAGGGTAGGCGCGGTCAGAACTCATTGTGTCTGGTTTGTTTGCGTTCTAAAAATATAAATATCAATCTAATCTAATTTAAAAATTAGGTCATTAGATAAATTAGGAGGGATTATAGATATTGGACGAGGAGTGAGAGGGCACACAGATACCTAAAAGAAGATGGTAATAGAAACGTCTTTAAATGTTCTGAATCTTTTTCAATCTGTTCTTTAAAAATCTGATTTAAATAATTATTATTATTAACTATATAATTATTGAAATTGTTTTCTTCTATGGCAGTGGGTATTGCACGTGTCTATACTAGCTGTATCATACGATTAAGTCGAATATGGCTATTGAATACAAAATTTAGGTAATAAACATTCAGTGTAAGCTGATCACTGGCCTGTCACCGACATCAGCCTGGGGTAAAATTATCAATGCATTTCAAAATACATTTATCGTTGATCTTTTGGATCGTTACAATTATACGTTGTGAACGTATTTTGAATTCATATAAATATAGACTTTTAGTGAATAAATAATTTGGTTCGCTTTAAAATACTTGAGAAATGGGCAGAGATCTTCTCACAGTATTGCATAAAATATTATAAGACTTAATTATTATAATTATAAGATATAGATAGATTCGTAAATATTTTGCAATTATTTTTAATTTAGAATTATAAAATTCTACAAAATATCGCCTGAACTTTCCCCCTTACTCGAAAATAACTTTAAATTTTAATTTTCTACATTCATAATTTTAAATGTTTTTAACTGGCTTTATTCTCTCATGAATTGAAAGACACAATAATTATGTTTGTTAGACCGCTATTAGGACGAGCATCTTCACACTTAAAAAGGCTCCAGTGTGGCTAAATTTCGTTATTTTTATCCGGGTTAGCAGAGAAAAAAATATGTAAACTGTTTAGGTCTCTTAAACTTGAAAGGCGTTAATCGATAAGGTAGAGAAACGCTGTTTAACACAAGTTCCTTTTGGTTTACGCGATAAAATACAATGAAAAAATTTATAATCTTAGTTCGACCTTATACATCGTGTCGATGCGGCTTGTATTGTGTGTTATTAATTTATTTTGTTTACAAGGGTGGTGTACATAGGTGACTGCGGTCCAAATAAGAATGTATCAATTTCTGTGGAAACAGAGAAACAACTCAGCGATATTTACTACGTCTCTAACACTCCAATTGACCACATCGGAGAATCCGCTTACATGTGCTTACAGCCCGGAAAGTAAGTGTTTAATGTTTAAACACTTTCAAGCTTAGTGTTCTAGTGCTTTTTAGATTAAAACGTACTATTTATATGAACTCAAAGGCTTTCAGTTAATAAAGATTTGTGTATTCTGTTTATTTTTATAAAAATTATGTTACATTATTTAAATAGGTATTGTTTACTACTAGTGCGCATTTCACAAATATTGTAAAAACTATATGACACATTTCTTACCCCTTTTGTCTCGTTAAAATTGAATCATATTAACATTATTTAAAGAACTATTTTTGCGTCTTTTTCTGTCCACATTAATTAGGTGGCGAAGAGAAATGAACCTACCAAACCGATGTTGTTTATATAAAGGAACCAACAGATTCCATGGTATTTTCAAATCTCCGTTCATTGTTTCATCGATATTGATCTAGCTTCCTCAACCTCGAATTAACGCAATTACAATCTATAATTAGTATTAGTAATAGGTAGGTAGGATAAATCTAGTCTACTTAGTTGGATTCTGATAATGTTAATTAGCCGCTGATATCAAGAGCATGCAAGCGGTAAATTACGCGGACGTAGACCCAGAGATGGATTGTTACCTCGTCGTTTCCTTATCGTCGGTTACTTGATGCCTTGGGCATCGAGTCTTAATCCCGGAGTGCAAACAATGATTGACGGAAACGAAAATAGACCTCTTTCGTCGCAGGTGACATTTCACCATTGGGGCAGGGAGGTATGTCGGAGACTTAGGTGGTAATGGTGCCACAGCAATTTTCCTAGAAATTCATTACAGATATTCAAGCCAAGATCACACCATGGGGCATCCTTGATCTCATTGAATGTACGTTGGCCCCCTCGTCCAGTGACAGGTTATGGAATATGGTCCGTCCATAAACATCACAGTTAGTTCGAATAAACTTTCTTGACTTCTAATTTCACTGGGTCTAGGATTTGTCATCAAATCAATTTAATTTTTGCTAAATAATTAAAGTCAAATCTCTTATTCATATAAGTTCTTGAAAAAACTAATATTCAAAGAGAGAGTTTCTAAGCTTTCATATTTACAACAAAGGTATCCCGGAATTTATGGGATAAGATAATTTCCTGTCTTATTGGTTATAACTTTCACTTCTCTGTACGTCTGCTCCTTCTAATAGAGTTAATTATTTGTTTTGTTATGTGATCTACAGATAAACAAGATATTAAAATTCAGTTGTTCATGTATTCGGCGAAATTGTTATAATGCTAATGCCGGCCATACACGCTACGGTCTACCGGAGAGGTAATCTGTGCAGGTAAGCCTGCGCAGGTCAACCGAACAAAGGTAGCGTGTATGGGGACGTTCCGGTTCTCTTTGCGATGGCATCGAATGTGGACGATGACACGCTAGCGTTGCTACGTCTTGTTTTCATTTTGAAGAAAAATGATACGAAAAACAAGCGAAGAAAGTGGTGTAAGCATTGGTTATTGAAAAGGAAAACATATAGTCATGTTAATTTATTAAATGAATTGAAATTTGAACCAGAAGATTTTAAAAACTATCTTCGAATGGACGAGAAAACATACATTAAATTACTTGAAATGGTTACTACTATAATAAAAAAAGAAGACACAGTTAAATAACAAATCAAACTTAAAACATAAGTAATAAATGTAGATACATTGCCGATTACTATCTTAACAACCTGCGCAGGCGACCGGAGTACACGCACACGCACACACGCACAGGTACACCGTACGGTGTCACTAGAAAGAATCGATTTTCGATCTTGCGCCGGTCGCCTGTGCAGGTTCAAAAACCTGCACAGGTCTATTCCCACACACATTCCGGTCTACCTGCGCAGGCATACCTGCACAGGTGGACCTCTCCGGTAGACCGTAGCGTGTATGGCCGGCATAAAATTCATAAACCATCAGGTTCAGATGGCACGCGAAAAGTGCTGGTGGTGAGGTGACAGGTTCCGGTGAGGGTTATCTTCGCCCTGGTGGTGTTTATGTACTATGCCTGCGCGAGAGACTTGGTCGATTGGACGCAGCGGTGCTGCATTCACCGAATCCACCAAACGAACTTCACCTTGCATGGATCGTACCTCAATATCTTCTTATATCAATTGCGGAAATTATGTTTGCGGTTTCTGGACTTGAGTTTTCATTTACACAGGTATTTTAGAAAATATATTGTTATTGTTTATTTGTTTTTTTCAAAGACAGCGGTATCTGTAACTCTTAACACCGACTACTGAAGATAACATCAGTGCTGTGCGACGCATGATAGAGGAAGATAAGAGAGTGACCTATCAGCAGATATGGGCAAGCCTAGACATTGGTATGAGTCAAGTTCAAAAAATATCACACGAACATTTAGGCGTCAGGAAGCTTTGTACCAGATGGATTCCCCATACTTTAACCGACGACCAGAAACACCTTCGCATGGACTGGTGTCGCCAAATGTTTTAGATAAGTTCAACGGCGGTGATTTAAATGCTATATGTGACATCATCACAGGTGATGAAAGTTGGATATATTGAATTAGCCATAGATTGAATATTTAGTTTTTGTACCGCTTATTTAATTAACTAATTAAATTTGTCGGGAGCGCAATAATTGCTATAGCTATTAGATGTCAGACAGCCGGCGAGATCCAACTCAAATCTGGGCTAATGAAATTCCCAATTTTATATCGAATACTAATCGATCGTTTATACACTATAAAACATGTCATAAATAATTAATTAAATAGACTTAGACTTTTTTTTTAATCGGTCTATAGTACTCTAATCAATACTTTATTTGCAACGGAGCAACACCAAAAATTCTTGCGGTAAATGAATTCAACTACAAACTACCTCATTAAAATCATGAATTTCACTAAGTATCGCAAATTATGGCTTCAATACGGCAGAATATGGTCACGTGATTTACTAGCAAATGATCAACGTATGCGTTCATGTATAATAGTAACACTATATTCGAGTTATATTCAGCCTTTGGTGTGCAAGGGCTACGCTGTCTGGCTTTAACTAGATAGCCTTTACGGTTCAGTGGTCGTGAATGACATGCTGAGATCAGATATTCGTCATAGTGTAATAACACGAATGAATGAATGAATGAATGATATGAATAGCCTAACATTCATTTGGTTAAGATATATGATTAATTAGATTTTTCATACATAACGGCCTCCCAAACAATTTTTTACCGTAATCTCACGTAATTTGATAGGTTTGTTGTCTTTGAAAAGTACGCGATCTTTCATAAAGTACTTATGAAAATTCTCTTTTACATTTCTTTATCATGTATTGTAGATTGTATTAATACATTTAAGCAGAAAAACAGGCCATCAGCAATTACTCGAAATGTCCATATCATTTGTTGTACTTGTGGATATAACAATACGAGTATATAAACATATACAATGTTTTTGGAATCAATTTACTTAATTCTATAACTAGATGAATCTTAGGGAATCCAGTCAGTCTAGGTAACCCTAAAATGAAACAGACAGAGAAACAGCTCTTTTCCTCACCCCATGTATAAAATTACTTGAAACTTAAACTAAAGATTTTTCAGGCGCCTAAATGTATGAAGACCATCACCATTGCAGCTTGGTACATGTCCGTTGCTATTGGAAATCTTATTGTGATTTTAGTTGCGCAAATTAAGATCTTCGATTCACGAGTGAGTGATTTGTCTAGATGTTAATGATTCATGTTAATAGATCAAAGCTTAATAAAATTCATCAACTGGTCTTGTATACCTTAACTTAACGCCAATATATTGTTGGGCTGGGAATCAAAGCCATGACCATGTGTATTAAAAATAATAAGTCAATAACATTCAATTAAAATTTTTTCATGCACTTCCCGAGTTTAGAGTATTTTTTTTTAAAATTATGAATTAAGCAATTTAGTAAAGTAGTAGCAAAGCTGACTTCTTCAATAGACATTTATTTTAGAAATATCAATAGTTTCTAAAAAACCTTAATCTATGCTAAACAATAAATAAATAATGTGTGAAAACTGTAGTAATTTTCTTTCAGGCTAAAGAATTTTTCGCCTATGCCGGTATTCTTACGATTGCTATGCTAGTGTTTTTAAAAATGTCTCAAGGCTATTGTACTCGAACAATGGAGGGTGACGGTTCATCGACGGAAAGCCACCCCTTGCTACGTCATCATTCTAGGGTGCGAAATTTTTCAATATAACAACACTGTATCGTTGTAAATTTATGTCTGCACAGAAGTACACCTTTATACTTATACACGTTCGGAGTTGGAATCTCAAAAGAGCCTGCACAAGTCTGCATTTATTATTGCTGAACTATTTTTTGAAAAGGTTTTATAAAACAAAATAAAAATCCCGGTCACATTTCCGTCTTGATAAAGTTTATCTGGAAAAGCAGTCTGTTGGAATACTTTTAAATCAAAATTTCTGTAATACTCGACATGGGCTTTTAATTTATCTCATAGCATAGCAAAACGGCATTAAAAGTATGGTTTTCTTGCACGTTGCAAAAAACGAGTCGATAAATATTTACAGGTTATATCCGTACATTCATTATCAACAAGAACAAGGACGTATAGTAGACCGGAAAGCAGCGAAGCTTCGTGTATAGGACTAATGGAGAAGCAGAAAACAAAAGCTTGGCCTCCTCATGCCTTTGTTAATTTAGCTACACCAAGTACAAGTGATCTTAAAGCTACGACTCTAGCTAAGTAACTGTTACTTGATAAATTGTAAGAAATTTTCAACGCTGAATAAAACGATTTCAAATTTAAGAACAACGTGAAAATCCCATTCTAAGCAAATATTATTTTCCAGTTCCCTATTTTGTAAATGTCAATCATCAAGTTTACAGCTCAGTGAGTCGTTTTCACGCGTTTTCACGAAATTCCAGAGCTGCACTAGAAAATCGCCCGACTGGTCGGCATTCGATAAAGTGCATGAAAATGGTAAAGAATGTCCTTTGGTATGCACCTTTAGCACGCGCTATACCTTTTCCCAAGTATACGTTATAAAGATATCTTTGACAACTTGTTAGATTTTTACTTGATGTTCGTTCGCCCGTGGCAATGAGGCGTTAATTAAAGTTTTCTATAGAAAAGCTAGCGGACCCGGAACACGTACGTACACACGCACGCAATTTAGGGATATGTATGCTAGGAAGCGACTCAATTTGATTATCATATTACCATTTTAAAAAGACACAAGAAACACATTTATGATTGATTTTCATAGACCCAACACATATATATATGCCACGTATATGTTGTTTCATGATCAAATAACGCGCTTTGTTTATCGTTATTTCTCACTTAAAAATTAAAAATAAATTGGTTAAATCTAATCACCTACTTGATTGCCTGCCTCTATTCTGGATAGGTTTCGACACTCTATTAGTGTCTAATTTACATGTAAATTTATCACTTTGCTAGAGCTAATACACGGTTTTATTTGACTCAGAGGGAAACTGATCGTGCTGGTATTTATTTTGATAGAATAATAAAAAGATGAGTACGAAAAATTCTCAAATAAAATACTATGTTTAAATGTAGAAAATCACCATGGGTCGCATGTCGAGGATGTAATTTAATTACAATGCTGCAGTAGAAAAAAATAGGTGGTCACAGTTTAAGGGTCCAATTAGCAATGGCAAATCCACAATATGGGATCCGGGCTTCCTCCAATATAGTGTAGTTAATTCGTGCAATATTTTTTGCAAGCCTGACGAAAATTATGATGATTTTTACGGATAAGATTTAAAGGGCAGGTAAGAAAGAAATAATAAAAAATGTATTTTCGAAAAACAGTCAGTATAATATCTTCTCGTCGGACCAAGTATCGTAGAATCAATAAAGTGAATTTAGATTTTGGACTAAGCTACGGTGAACTTTTTTATATTAAGGTTTTGGTGGAAGGGAAACACGTCCACGTTCCCGTTCATACTTTTCGCATGAAATATTTAGAAAATGTAATAGTTTATTAGATTTTATTATTTATTTAAATAATATAATAGTTTATTAATACAATTTTAAACGTTTTAAATATAAAACGTTAAGACGCATGAGTTTGTTGTTATTAGATGTTTTTTAGAGTAAATGAATTTCAATAATAAAGTGTTTTATTTACGTCATCGACTTAATCGGAACCATCTCGATTTTGCACGATGGCGATACGTAATTGATGACGCGAATTCATGCTTATTTAAAAATTATTTTTAAAACATGATTGGTTTGTGTCATATAAAAATGAATTATATTCTAACTGGACTAAGTAAGAAAAATAGCATACATTTTCTTTTATAACATCGTAAAACATTATTTAAAATGTAAAAATTTCGTCGCGGTTTCTTGCTACCCACGATTGCTGAAAATCTCTCGAAACCTCGAAGTTTTTAAATCAAATAATAAATTCCTTAAAGAAATCTTATTTAAATGTACTCGTGTAAAGCATATATTTTTTTTAGTAATATTGATGGGACCATCCTTGATACAGTCAAAAGCACACAGTTCTTTATACAAATCATTATTTGCTGAATCTGGCTATCCTATGTTAGGTGACATACCGCTGCTAAACCGTAAGGTGAGTACGTTAGTGTATTTTACTTAAAGGCTTTGAACATTCAGCATATAAAAGAGCCTTGCGAGCCTTCTGGCAATGTGAGTATCCATGTATCACTTAACATCCTGCCCGTTTGCCTCCTATTGTATAAAAAATTACTTTTTAATCTTTTCTTTCAAATATTTTAATTTGCAACGCCGATTTTGAAAAGCAACAAAAACCGTCTGAGTCTGAGATGCAAAAGTCTTTAAAACTGTTCTGTGAGTTTATAGACTTTTGTGAGGTTATGAAGATTTTATACTGGATAACTTGTGAAAAAGACGTTGAAACTGTTGAATGGACTCTTTCGAATAAACGGAAATAGCCTTTGGCTGGCACCATATAGTTCTCAGAAAATCCACTTAAATGTTTGGATAAAAATGAGTATAAAATTCAATTCTACTATAAAAAATTTCCTCGTTCCTGGAACAAAATTTGTAAAAATGTTGAAACTTAGTTATCGATGTTTTACGTAATATATTTACCGCTTCTGAACGTGCGGGATGAATCCATTTTTTATTCAATGGATTGTATTTACATGAATACAAAGAATTGTTTACCAGGTAACTTTATAAATATTGGACAAATAGTAGTATAGCAGCGTCGATACAATCAGTAGTATTGAAGCTTTTATATTTGTGCCTTTGATAATTTTGCTTTAAACATTTTTTTCTATTATTTACCTTACTCACCACCGAATGTTTGGGTATATGATTTGCTTTTTTCAAATAGAAAAATGCATTGACGGACATGAGCGGTTCGAACGCACGACCAGGGTTGATTGTTGCCTAACCACTAGGCTTATACAAAGCTCACAGCCGTTCAATCTAGTCTTATACATAGGGCACTATTAATATGAAATATAACATAATTCTTTTGAATATATATTAAATTCTATTGAAGTATAACATTGCAATAATATCTTAAAATAGGTATAATTTGAATTATTTGCATATATTTCTGAACGGCTTAAGTTATGACTATTTTGAGTACAGTAAAAGTCCCGTATATTTGTAATTAATAATATTTGAACCTTTAAACAATATTTTCAATTCACAAACAGAGTAAATCCATGATTAGTTTTCAGATATTCAGAGCCACGCGCGTGACAATCAGGGAGCATCCATACATTGTCAGTATTCGTAGGAAATATGTTCATTATCTGACTGGCTGCTTACTAACAAAAAATTTGGTTCTGACTGTGGCACACCCCTTATACCGGTATACACTTCTTTTGATTACAAAGATCAAGGAACGTTGTATGTAATGTATTTTCATAAATTTGAAATGGTGGCTTGATCTTTTAGAATGCACTTGTATACTAGTGTTTACGCGTGTTTATACCGTTGAGCGATTTTGATATAAAAATTTAAGCAGGACATGACTATCGTTAATTAAATTATAACATCTATGCATAATATTTCCACTTACTGCCAACGAAATCTTCACAACTTTAAAACTGTGTTAAAATGTATGGGTAACTTTACGTGTTCAACGAACATAAATAATAAAGAGAATTAATTAACTAGCAAGATTTTAACGGTCATCAGAGTAACACAAACTAGAAATAAACGTACACTTTCAAACTTTACAGTGTACCCATAACTGAACTAAACGTAGTTGTTGGAGAGAATTATTCAGATCGTGGTACCACATTATTGACAATTGTATTACTCCTCATTCACAAGAACTTCGATCCTTACACTTTGAAAGCGGATATATGTATTTTGCGGTTTTACGAAGATATTGTCATAAGGTGTGTATGTCATAGAGGTGTATGAGATCTAAAAGTATATTGAGTTTTGGCCTCATCAGAAGACTTCTTGCTTGGCCATTGAGTCCACCATTTTAATATTTTTAACACACATGTCTTGGGAAGGTCCTGTATTAATTCCGGTATAAAACATTTGATTATAATTTGTAGAAAATATTTTGTAGCCTTGTTTGAATTTTCTTTATACATTAATAATTTTAATTTAAAATTCTGCTGTATCTATTACTATAGATACTATAGAATATTCCGACCTTTCATTACTTCATATTATAGTAATAACATGAAAGGTCGGAACAATTTTCCATTTATTATAATAAGTTTAAGCACGAATATGTTGGTACATAGATTGTACAATATGATTATGTTCGCATATTCTGCCAGTCACAATGTATGTTAGCTAAAATTATATAATTAACGATGTAATTTCAAATAACATATTAAATTACACCATACCTTAACGTACCTTAAATTCCCTAAAGCACAATGTTTTAATGAAATAATCAAGGCCAGAATTATTTTTCTTTCCATGATAGATCATCGTCAAAGACTATCGCTTTGATGGCTCCAACGGGTACTTTGGCCGGGCGAGCGTTTGTAACAGGATGGGGCCGTTGTGATTTCACGGTATGTACGCCAAGCTAGTCAAACATAATATGTCTGTATCAGGCGGAACACTGACAACACTGACGCTAAAAGATTTACAGTAATTACTAATTGATTGAATATGCTGAAAGCTTTGAAGTTGATGTATTCAAATATTTATTCAAACGTTAATCGAAAACTAACCTCTTATTTGTTACCCTGTTTCATTATAACCGAAGTACGTGCACTGTGGGCAAAAGATTAAACCAAAGCTTAATTGTTGGCCTACTATTAGGCATAATACGATGTTAGATAAATAAATTCCTTTATATAATGCTTTTTAGTTTTAGAAAAATTATCTTATAAAATTATTTAAATTGTCTTAAAAAGTTTTATAAGAGAATAAACTAAGTGTTAATTAGTTAATTTTCATCATATAATGGGGATCGAGGTCAAATCGGTAACCTAAGTGCCGGGGATAGATCATCCGTCTCCGTATACATATGTATAGACGGACGAATTTTACTAACATAGGCACATATATATGTATGTTTAAAATTTTAATGTAAAATTTTAATGTTTGGCAGACCGTGGAGAAATGAGAATGTAATTTAACAGTTTGAGCTTATATAAATAACGAGGTATGGACTTTATTCATTTACGCGTAAAATACATTGAAGTCATTTAAATAACGACCTTAATCCAATAGGACAAAGTGTAATTTATGAGTGATGAAAACTATTGCATTTACACCGCAATAATTTCAATCAACTCGATGAAGTTTACCAGGACGAGTCAACCACACCAGCTATCTCTATTGAGGCTGGTTTATAGGTATATATATATATTACTGGCTGTTCTTTACACATATATATATATATATATAATAGAGTAACCAGTACATCTACTCATCCAAGGCACATTTTCAAACATTGAACTTCCTTAGAAAATTGCATTTTATATATTCATCCCCAACTAGAATATAAGATAGAGCAATTAAGCAATTGAAAAGCAAATTAAGTTATTGTCGTCAAAATGCATGTTATTTGTTATTGTAATATTTATTAGTGCTTTTATTTAGGACCAAGATCTGTGTTTACCACGGTCATCTATTTATTTTCCCGATGAATTGGTGGATCCAATGCTGCGATCTATTTCTTTTGTAATTAGTTCGCCAAATAATGCTTGTGACGTTTACAGACAGGTAAGTTTTGTCTTTTTCAATAAATTTTATATATAGTGTATATTTCTTTGATGAAATAATTTGGACTTAGGACGCAGAATTATGTCTGCGCCACGTCAAAACAAAAACAGCACATCAGCAATCAGATATGAAAAAGTATCAAAATAGTAAAACAAAAGATTAAAAATTTTTCGAGTTTGTATTATAAGTTTGTAAGCTTACGGACATTCTATACCACAAATAACTCGCGTGGAATATAGCTTGTTTATTGAAGTGAAACTTCTTTAGGCGCATGAGGGTTTTTAACGGATGAAACATCACGAAGATGTGCAGCGTTTTTGTCGAAGAAAAGGGAGAGAACGATTGAGACCGATTGAGAGAGAGTGAGAAGGGCGAATTACCTTATAGAAATACAGTCTTTAAAATTTAAATTTCGTAAATATGCAAAATGAATTATTTTGTGTAGTTTTTAATTATAATTTTTAATGAAATCCCAAATGACGAATTGTAAATTAAAATGCCACGTGTTTATAGTATCGAAGAAATAAATATAATAAATAAAAAAATAAATTTATTATTTGTATGAATTTTCGACACTTATAATATTTTAATGACAGTTAAATTCATTAAATTCCTAACATATCTTCCTTTTTCCCTGCCTCTAAGTCATGGAAATTGCCAAAGAAGTTTCACTGTTGACATGTGTGCTTTGTACGCACGCACTTTTTTATTCTTCCAGCATGACAATCACATCCGTAGAGGAATGTTATGTGTGGGAGATTCAAGACATATGAAACCAGTGGCACCATGTTTAGGGGTGCCAGGTGCAGCGCTGATAATTCGTGGTAAACTGGTTGGCCTTCTATCTTGGGGACTAGGTTGCGGCTACGCACACGACCTCCCACTAATTTATACGAACATACAGCATTATTTCTCGTAAGATTCTTAAACTTGTATTAGTCAAAGAAAAATCAACATATTTGCTTCGATGTAAATAGAAAAAGAAAGCTTACGTTTCGTTAGTTAAATAGTGTTAATTCCTAGTAACTTACTGTTTATTCACAAATTATGAACCTAATAAAAGGCGAATTTGATAATACTTATAAATGACGACAACGCTTGAAAAAAAGTGAATATGCTGACTATACAACAGCCCAGTCGCTTTTTAAAAACAATTATTGTATAATACCGCTCATTATTTTCACCGCTATTTAATTTTGATTTTCTATGGTTAAATTATGTTATTCACTCATTATATGGGTGTTTTAGTGATAGAATAAGTGATTAGATAAAATATATTTGACATCCGGAGTTTAATATTTTCTACCTTTGCAAAAAAGAGTCAGTTTCATTCAGTCAGTCAAATTATAAAATATTACTGATTCGTCTGTTTGTGTCAAATTGTGTTAACGCTGCATTGTGAGGAGGCAAATCAGTGTTACACTTGAAACCGTCATGTCGAAGCTGTGTTTTACAAATGAGTCGAAATTATTTACGTATAATATAAATACGCTAACCTCGTTCCTTCACTACACTTACATATTTTGCTCTTAAATAGTGTAATATTCTGAAGAATTCAGCTTGTTGGATCCATAAATCTGGGTCAGAAGGCTGTACTTCCTTTCAACTCCTTGTCCCGTGTTCTATTGCGTCACTCGTTAAACTTCTCTTGTGTTATACAACAAGAATAGTATCGGTTTAACCTAAATTTAATACACTTATTAAACGCCTTCTCTAAAAAACTTAGCTACGTAGGCGATTGACAACACAAAAAAAATCATGTCTTCAACAATTTTTTTTTTCAGGTGGTTGGTAACAAACGTTGAATTTTTAAAGAACATCACCCGTCAACACATTAAGGAATTATTCGTGGTAACAAAATCCTATAAACTATCAGTTTGGCTACAAAGGACAAGAGAACAAGTCATGGTGCAGCCAGAAAGGCGATATAATTTACAACCGCTATCCATTGATACGACTCTGTCGAAATTAGAAGGACGACTATATGATATAAGAGACTTCATAAATAATGGTACATATCGATCAGAAAAAAAAGAAATGTATAAGGAAATGAAATTGCAACACAATATGACGGCTATTCATTTTCACAATATACCCCTAAAGACAGATCCTTTTCTTAGCAATGAGAGCCTCCACGATGAAATAGAATATGACTATGACTCGGACGTTGAAGATCAATTTGATTAAGTGTTATGGATTGAGATTTTATTAGAAAAGTATAAATTCGGTAAATCGTAAGTGCCCTGCCCAAATCCAGTATTTTAAAATTTTGTTCCACGCTGTTAAAATATTTATTCAAGTTTTGCATAAATAACTTATAAAATATACGTAAAAAATTTGCAGTTACGATGGATTTACAAAATAAACCAGTATTTAAAAATATTGTAGTTCTAGCATTAGTTATCTCTTCCGACCTGATGATGGATTTTTAGTGAGACAGAATTACCACGTATTATATGGTTTTACGGAAGTATAAATTTTATTTATTCAAGACTGGTATATATTTATGTTTTGCTTACGATCCAGCAATGGCTAGTGCCACTAAATTCAATAAGTCATTAACGAAATATCATGTGGAGAAAAATTTAATGCAACTTGGTGATAAATGAGGTCAGATATCAGATAGCCTTTCAATAAGCAAATAGAATGAGAGCCTGCATTTATTTGGTCCTTCGGTCCTTTGTTAGCAAATATTTCATTACGTCTACAATAATAGCACGTAATATGTATGAATCAAAGTCCTTTTTATATTAACAGTAACTGCATAGTCCGATAAAGTTATGTTACATAAAAATATTTTTATTTTTACATGAAACTCTTAGCAAATTTTAGTAAAAATTAAAGCACACCTATTCAATAATGAATTCAAGTCTGCTGTTTCCTTTGTTTTAATTGTAATTTTTCAGCAAATCATTTTGGAAAGTAGGGCGGTATCGAGAGTAGCACAAGAACTTATTTTAATCAAAACAAATTTAATTTCAAAATGCGTTTATAAAATTCAGCTAAGTTGTATTGAAAAAAAAGTACTATTATCTCGGTTCAGAGTACATATATAGGACGCTTGTTAAAGTCTGAAGAAGGGCCTGTTTAGGGGTTTAGCTCTTCCAATTCAGGATCCAAATTGTTTAAATGTTTAATTAATTTTATTAAATATACTCACAAGTGTCAAAAGCTATTGAATGATTTGTAGTACGAGTAGAACTCTCGTGTCTAATAAATAAACTAGACATTTTTTTTAGTACTATATTGAATAATTACTGGATAAATAAAACAATCTCTTATGTTGATACTTTATTTGGTTAAATCCATTGGTACAGCTTTTCTACATTACAACATTCATATACGATTAAATTGCATCTGGAATCGACACACAAGGTGCTAAGACTTAATTTTTTTCAAGAATACACTAGTCTAGTTAAAGTAGTCTCACATATAATTGATAATTACTTTAATCAAAAAAAATATTCAAGGAGAAAAGAAAATAATTAAACCTACACACGAAATCATTACTTATTGGGACGTAAGTTTTCACTAATCATATAACATAAGAATGCAAAGATTTAAGGTACACAACCGGTGGCCAAGGTCGTCTAATATAACACCTAATATTAATTAATACTTACCTAAATAAAATATTCAAAAAGTTTCTAACGGAATGTAGGCAATACAGACGCAAACTAAAAAAACTTTAGGGGAAAGTTATATAATACAATATATGATCAGTACATGCATTTTATGCTCAGACCTTAAATATTAATAATTATCACTTAAAGTATATAACATAATTTAATTGACTAAAGATAACTTATACATTTTTCATAGAGATGAAGTGAATTCATAACTGGAAATAATACTTAGAATTATAGTATCTACTGTGTTACATTTATTATAAGCAGTAGCCACATTTATTAATTGTTTGATTATATACGAATTCGCAGTAATGCAATTAGTTATTTCAAGAAGTAATCGAAAATTCAGCACATGTGCTTAAAAGTATAGACGTTTCTTCAAGAATAGCATCAGGACATAGAGTAGCTTTATTACTAGCTTATCTTTGGTATGATTATCATAATACAACATTTAAACACTACAGCACAGTTAATTAAATAGGTGCGAAACATTTGGAACTTTGATATATATTAGATATATTAATTTAGAAGCAGCCTGGGCGGCGGTAAACACGCATTTCGCTCGTAGCTACGGCAATCCATTCATTCCTGGCGGAATCAAACCATGTCAAGCCCAGCGTATATTTTCCGTTAATGTTAACGTGTTGGCAATGAGAGAACCACCATCCACCTTCGTAGTTTGCAGCGCAGTGGGTGTTCGAGATGTCCCGGTCACGGTCGATGGTTGAGAACTCCATGTGGTTCTGGTATTCGAAAGCATCGCTAGCATTTCCTTTGAAACCGCTCACTTCAAGAATGAAACCTGAATCAGCATCGCCGACGGAGAAATGGTCATACTCAGCGTACCACACGCTTCCGTAGATATCAGTCATGTCAATTCTCATCGAAGAGCAGTTGTCGGCGGTTATTTCGTGCATTGATTGAAGTCCAAGCCAGAATTCCGAAGAGGCATCACCGAAGCCCTGTACATACTCAGAGAATTGCCTGTTGAACTCTATTGTGCCGTTGTAGCGTCGCTGAAGAAGAGTTGTTTGGTTATTGCACCAGGTCTCTATGGGTGTTTTACTGGGGTGAATTAGGTAGATCCCGGGAGTACCAGATACATTGGAGCAGTCTTTGGGCAATTGCTTAACTAGATCTTCGTACTCACGCTCCACGGGTTGCAGTTCCTTCACTTCGCCCATCAATTCAGGAAGAGAGACGATCGTGTAGTTGGAATCCACATACGTAGCTTCGGTCTGTAACAAAATGATTTTTTAAAATATGAATATAATACGAAAAATACAGAAAATAATTAAACAATATCATATATTTATTAGTATATAGTAGTGTTCATTAGATACATTTATATAAATTCGGATTCAATGTGTAAAAATTTGACGCTGTGGCATAATCCAAGTAAATATAATACATTTATTTTAAGTTATTGATTTTAAATTAGATATAACTATAATGCTTTATTTTAAATTTACTAACATACCTTCAGGATATGGTCGTTGAGGCGATAGAAGTGCTGTTTAGCCGTAGTTTTCAGGTCTACAATAGATTCTTTCAGTTTGTTCATATCCAGCCGCTCCACCTCGGAACGGTCAATTACGTTGCTAACGCTTACAGCAATAGCCTTCACCGTCTGTTTAAGGTTCTCTTGGTTCTCCTTGATGTAGGAAGTTGCAGCGGTCAACTATAACAAAGAATTTTTTTTCAATTTCAATACTGAAAGCTAAATAAATTCGTATAACTAAAACTCATCTCAAATCTAAATATATCACTTCAGGTATACAAAAGGTCGCCGGACTGAAAATAAATCATGCACGGTTTCACGAAACTTCATTTTACCTGAGCAAAACTGATGTCCAACTTTGATATTTCCTTTCTGAATTCTGGTATTGTCTTATCAACTTTATTTTCGATGCTCTCGACGTCTTCTCGCAATTCAAGTAAAGATGCGTGCACTTTATCGAAATCTGATATTTTTTGTGAGACATTTTTCAGTTCCTCCTTGAATACTTTTGATTCCAAATCGTATAATTCCAGTTTGGCCGTGATGAGGTTCCAATTGGGTTCTTCTAAGCGATCTAGTCGGCGTTGAACATCTAGTAATTGATTCTGCAGGGTCTGTTGGTATGAATCGAGCTGATCTTGGGTCCGAGACAGTCGCGAAATTTGGGTGTGAACCATTTTATTATGGCGGAGTTTGTGGTTGTTTGGACCCCGGTAAGACTCAAAAACTTCGTTATTGCTGCTCTTGTCCATTTCTTCAAGTTGTTTGGCCTTAATCTGTAGAAAAAGGAAAGCATAAATGACTGTTCTATTTACTTAATAAATTATTAATAATCTAATATTTTATTGAACTCTGATTTCCCGGCAGGTGTTTGTATTTTCCTTTATATTCGGATAAATCTTTAAAAAATAAATATAGACTAATGTGTAATAAAAGTTTTATTAATTTATTTTAGTAAAATATACAAAATAACGTTAAGTAATATGTGTATCGTTGCACACACCGTTGCGACCTTGTAAAGAATGTATAATGATATTATCACGCATGCAACGGTCCATTCCCGTTAATAACTTTAAGTAGTAAATTATCTGATGATACAGGAAATAATTTTATGCAAGTTCTGTATGTGAGATGAAATCAACTATTCGCCGTATCTATAGACATTTAAAACTAGTTCTTGTCATAACATACTGAACTTTACCTTGACCATATATAGTTATAACGGTAAACATGTACAAATGTCAACACGAAAAACTTTGTAATTGTGCCAATCGGGTGAATGATAGTTAAAGATGGTACGAAGTGAAATGGCCATCTGCTGTAAATCCTTCGCTGTAATTAACAGAGCCGCCGAACTGGTTATAAACCTATAACCTTGCTGAACCGACGCTTAATTTATAAAACCACTTAGCTCTTACCTCTTATATGCTTTATTTCACATGCACATTCCGATGTGCTTATAAATTTATAAATGAATATCACTTGGTTTAATGTTGTTCATAGAAGTAGGCAACGTGTAATATGCGAGTTATTCCGTAATATAAAACATAGAGTAATTTTATAACTTCCGTTTTGAAGTGTAAAATGAAAATTTTTATATCTACGTTGCAAAGGAATTTAATCTAGAAGTCCCTTGACGTAAGTCAGAAATATACCTTTGAACTTATTTAAAACCGGTATACTGCTGATTACATAATACCGACTGTGTTTTTGATTTATTTAATGTAAAAAACGATTTATTACCTCTACAATATCATAACAATTTGTTTTTTAATTTTTAAGACAATTTTTCTATCGGACAATGAACACATTAAGCATGACTTAAAAGTTTCATTGATAATACCCGTTTAAAGTAGGCTTTAAACGTGCTCGCAACAAGCCACCAGGTGGTTCATCTCGCATCTGTGGAGAGTGAGGTATAGATCCCTATTTCGAGATACGCAGTGCGGTGTGGTACGGGCAGATGTTTCGTTGAATTAATAGAAGTATAATTTATGAACATAGATAGAATATAACGAGATCATGACCGGTATTTTAACGTGAAAACTAATTTAAGTATCAATAACTAATTGGGTGCGTATATATAGAATTTTCTTTATATAGGTAAGCTTTCTTTCAAATGCCCATGTTCCTGGGCAAAAAGGATACTAAAGTAAAACAGAAAAATAAGTTATACGCATATTTAAACTATCAAATATTTTATAATATGGCTGTTATGTGTATGTGATATATTATTTACTAAATCAATTATGTTGTGATTTAAAACAAAAGACGTTCGCGAAATATTTACCTATTGAACGTAGCATTTCTCTTATTCAAATTACATTCGCATTTAAATCTCAATAATCTGCCTGAGAAAGAACGGCAGACTGATTTGTCGGGATTATATCCGTTCTTATTATAGGGAATTCACTTGAGAATGAGTTTTAATTTATTTTTAAGATAACTACGGAAACTGGACCTGTTCTGCACGGTCATTTACTTCGTGTGTACCTACAGCTGTTGCATATTTTTGTTACAACTTCTATGACATATTCACAATTATTAACTTAAAAAACATGTTATTAATTATCAACAAGTTTCTTAAAATTTCAACGCACGACCTTATAATTAAATTTTAAAACAAAAAATATAATTTGTTAATTCGATCCAAAACCAGTATGTGTATGTGGATCAAAGAAATATTCGAAGAAAATCAGTAAACTTACACCTGCCGTCGGGGACCAACCACGAACACGCGCGATTTCGTTTTATGCTAATTCTTAGTATCAATTACATAAACCCCTTTCGCAATATATAATTTAAGTTTAATAATTGGTATTCATATTTTTTACGAAAGAGAATCTAAGAGCCCTGATGGATTCATAAGATTAATATTCTAACTTATAAATAAATAAATAAACTTCATTTATTTATTATCATTTTCAACGACTCAAGAAAATTTTCATGTAATTACATAAACTACAATAAATTAAATGAAATACTGAAATAATTAATAATAAATATTAAGGAATGTTACTGTGGTTATGTAGTTCTATTTTCTATTATTACGTTTGTATCCAGCTAAAAAAAACGCGTTTTTATGTTGAGAGTTAATCAAAATTGCCCGTGAAAGTGCCAAGTGGTCTTAAAATGTAAACAGGTGATTTTAAATGTTCACGTCACATATGGTTAATTTGTGTGGGTCGTGTGACGTTAAAATTAAATTGCGAACGTTAATGCATTAGTTCCAGGCATTGATTTTCGTGTAAATTGTCTCTCTCGGCGGGTGGTCATCATTTTTTGCTGATGCACCGAAAAGCATGTATCCCACAGATATTACGTAAAAGTTTATTCTGCAAGGTGTACATGCTACTTGACGCTACTGCGGAAGCGCAGCGTCGAAATGTTAAACAATGTAATAAAGAAAAATAACCATTCCACGAAAATGAATCACAACATAGATGCCACGAATACTTATTATTGGCGAATATTGACGAATAGAGACGTTATAAGTATAAGTTATTCTAGAGAGTGTGAGATGTCACATGATTTTATCAACCTTTAAAGGTTTTAAAATAATTATTTGAGAAAAAATAACATGAAACGTATTCAGTATAGATTTATTGGCAGATTATCTTCAATGTACACGGGATTCGATCTCTTTGTCGTTTTATACCGCTTTTGTGAACGTTTTGAATGGGACTTCCGCGTGTTAGCGAACCGCAAGGGTGAATACGTTTTGATGACAGGTCTTTCTCAATAGCCTAAATTACGAATAAAAACATTTTTGTGGTCATTCTTAAGGACACTTAAAATTCTTTCAGTTGCAGGTAAAAATTATAGCAAAGGAATGTGTTGCGTTAGAAATGTAAAACTAAATTACGCTACTATATTTAACGCGATATTCATATATTTACTAACTTATTTGTTGCTTAGACTTTTATTAAAAAGATACATTTAACTTCAAAAACCCAACTTAGTTTTTGAAATCATTAACATTTTAAATAAAATTCGTTTAATTATCGTATGAATCGAGAACGGCAGTATTAAACAAAATATCTAAATAAACTATTAAGTCTCAATGTTTTTATACTATGTATTAACTTCATAATATATGAAACCATTCAAATATGTCTTGCTCCTCTGATTGTAGACGATGGGGCAGGGGTTTTTATAGAAGATAGTAATTAGTTGCGTAAGGCATGATGTCGGTTGGCAACGGTCGCAGTCACAGACCGTAAACTACCAACACCTGTTGCCCCCCGGTACGAAACGCAAACAATAAGTTTGCGTTTCAACCAACAATAAATCAAACAATATTTCAAACGACAATAAATCAATTTCATCAATATTCAAACGACGTGTAACCGTCATCGAAGTATATCACTACAAACATCACAATACTGCTTCCATATTAAATTTACTTAAGAAATTAAATTCCCTGGTCCGTGAATGGCTCCGATTGTAAATGCGTCCGTTGAAAATTTATCATGAATGGCGCTGCATTACGCTTTTGTACTCGGATTTTGTCGTAAAAAGAAAATCGTGGGAATAAAACTCTTATAAACAATTAATATTTAAGCCAGGATTATACCGTGCAATCATCGAGTTTATTAAGTGCATAATTATTTTAATATTAGACGATCGATTTACTTTTATCGTTTTGCTTTATAGGTTATTATAATCTTGATTTTATTTGTGTTTATTTAAAGTGAAACCTTTCTTACCTCCTTAGAGAGTTTTCCAACGTGAGCCCTTAGTTGGGCGACCATGGCCCTCAATTGTTGGTTTTCATGTTTCGATAATCCAACTTCATTGTCTAACTTGTCAATTCTAGTCTCCTGGGTTTGCGTGAACTGTACTAAATCAGTGGTTTCAGTCAGCGCTTGTTTTAACTGCGAAAATTATAATAAGAATATACAAAAGTTCACAAAAAATCACTAGATTTTCGTATTAAAAAGTTAGATCAGAACAAATCTATTACACGTTCACTTGATTATAAAACATTTATTTTAAAAAGCGTCGTTTGTTTGCCTTCGAATGCACATATTGTTTTTACACGATCATATTTTGTACAATCATTTTATATTCTGAATATTCAGGGTAATAAAGTACGTACGTGTAAATAATTGAAAATAATAAATATAATTTCTGTTTCGGAAATATCTCGTTGTTTTTGGATAAATGTACCTACACCTACAGTTTAATTAAATTATCATATTAGGATAAAGGCCGGCAATGTGAGTGTCCATGGGCGGTATCACTTAACATCAGATGAGCCAAAAAAATTATACGAGCGAAAATATAATTTCATGAGACAAGGCACGATTTCGTCTCTTTCTGTCAAAAAGTATTTATACTGTGCCGAAAAGAGATAAACGAGTATTTAAGCGTTGCAATTAAAAATATTTATGATTAGGCTAGATGAATGGAGAAAGCAATGATTCTCACCTCATTACGTATAACATGGAGGTGTCTAAGAAGTGTAGAACTATTGATGCTGTTGCTGAGTTCATGCATCTCCATTCGTAGCTCGTTCATAGAAGTCTGTGCCCACTGCAACGTCACTTGAGAATTTTGGTCTAGGTTGTTTGTCGGAGCTGCCTGGTTTTGCCTGAAAACGAAAAATTTATTATAATCTAAAAGATTTTTTATAGTTAGCAAATTAGTCACATCCTCAATTACACTCTAACTGTAAAATCTACTGAGATTTTCGGTATTAGAAACGTATGCCATTATAATAAATATAATACAATTTTGTAAAGTTAATCAAAGATTAGAAATTAGAATTTTTTGAAAGTCACAAAATCTTCACTTGACACACGTTCACCGTTTAAAATAATTTGCGCTTTTTATCGCAAACCTTATTATTCTATAGCGGGCCATAGAGGGACCGCATGTTGCAGCCGATACTGACTGCTCTAAGCGGTCGCCGCACGGCAGTTTCTGCAGTTTCCATACTAAATTCATATACGCAATACACGGACCGTTCGAGCAGTTCCTGAGCAAACTGCAATATGCGGTTTGCTCATTTTGCGGTCCGTCTTAGGCTTCCAAGTTAAAAGTAGTTAAGAATTAAGTGTATTTAGTTTAACATTATGAACAGAAATGTATTCGATACAGAGCCACCTAAACAATTTCTTCAATTTACTGCTTTTTACTTCAAGCTACGGAAAACGATGTTAACTAGATGTAGGTAATTCAATGAAACTGCATCCCGGGTCGGGTCATCGAGTCACGTATCATGCAGTTCAGCGCAACAAAATTTAATTTCCAAGTAAATCTTATTGCAACTGGCTTTTGAACTTTGTATTCAGTAAAACATGTAATGGACCAATGAACTTGATAGCTTTAATATTTATTTACGTACATAAATACGGATGAAAATTTCATAACTAATTAATTTGCGACAAAAAGTTCTTGTAGAGGGGTTATATATAGTTATCGTAAGTGCTATATTGTATACGTATTTGTATGTATCTATGAGTAAACTATTTACCCATATATTTGCAGTCTGTGAAAAAACATTGATTCGGTCGAAACTATACTATTAGTTGAACGTATTGTTAATTGTGAAATAATGATTTTTACAAATATTGTTTTAAGAGTAAACATTATTTGGGCCTACTGTACACGTAAAATTACTAGTTCATGACATACCAGTGGTAATTGCAATTACTCAAATAACGACTGGAATTCTCAGTAGGAGAATGGAACATTCATCATCAGTGTTAAGGACTAAGCAAGCGGGTCGGCATGGTGGCACTACTTGTATTTTGAATATACTTCCGGGCATGGTTTGATCGTTTAGCTAGTTTATTGGTTAGTAAGTTTGAAATACTATAACAGTTTACTGGAGTTCCGATTACATTCCTACATATCCACCCTAACGGAACAGGATATAGTGTTATGCAACAACGATTCTCCGAGACCGTGTCTCCTGCGCACCCTTGCACAGAATAGAGTCCGTTACGCATTTATTATTAAATACCTCAGCTAATCAATATCGTATATAATTATATAAGTATATATTCCCATGAACGTATCACGAAACATTAACATACCATTTTGGCCGCTAACAATGGATCATAATTATTACTATTAATTAGGAACATAATTAATGTGAATACAACGAAAGTCCTAATAATAAGGGACAAGAGAAGTGAGAGATTTCGATAATAATCTAAGATTCGATAAAGTGCTCTTTGGCTCTTTTAGTTAAATTTTATTTATGCCAGTTTTGATTTTGATGAATATTACAATGAAACTGATTAAAGTTTTATAAATATTTAAATGTTTCGTAATAGTTGTAGTTGTGTAATGTTCGTTGGTTAGACTAACCAATCGTTATTATTGTAAAATTGTTTTGTGTTTTAGTAAAACTTGCTTTATATTTGTTGGTTGAAGTTTGAATTTTACGTTAACAATCAATATATTGAGTATTTGCGAGTTTGCACTCGGGATGATTAAACCCGACCTTTCATTAAATAAATTCGAGGTAGGGCAACGCAATTATTTTATGCGCCTGAAAGAGTTTTAAATTAAGTAGCTTTTGTTATTTTAAAATTGTTATCGAAAGTTTTAATTTCTTCATACCACGAATTACTGACCGATTAGGCGATATCTGTGGATATTTCTACTCTTTTTGCTATTAACCAAGTAAAATAAATAAGATATGTTATCGCGAGCATTTAATCTTATCAAAATCCGAGCTTCAATTCCGAAAATTAAGTACTTGATTGATGCTAATACCTTAAAACGTACGTCAATATTACACATGTCATGTAAATAATTTTATAACTTATGCCTTTAACTTGTTTATTATCAATTCAAAATTTATTTAAACATTTAGTAACTATTTACATTTACGAACGTTTAAAATAAATCTAAATGTTTACATATAAGTAATATAAAAGTACGGTTTATTAATAAAACAGTACAAAATAATTGGTTCCGAACTGACGTTATATCACGTAAAGCTTTTAGTTTCAAATTAGTTGGGATTCAGTCGCGCGATGAATACGCTATTTGCAAACCTTTCACATCTTGTCAAACACACTATCCACTGAAAATGTCAATAGTCATTTCAAATTAAACTGAAATCAATTCCATAATGAAAAAATGTGGTAATGTTGTAATTAAGTATATAAAATTAATTACGATTTCATAATTTTTTTAATTTCATTAATGAGACTTTATGGCGGATATGTTTTGAATATAGAACAGTTATCTCTTTGAACATCTTTAAAAAAAATATCCAAAAAGTATCAATACTTGGTTGTACAAAAAAAATACCTATGCAGCAATAACCGCGTCTAATGTTTTATTTCAAAGTCAAAGAATTTCGCAAGTCCGCTTTGGCTAAGGCATTGTACTAAAATAAGAAATATTTTATACCTCTTAAGATTAAAGCGCTGTTTTGTTGTTTAATTTAACGTAAGTTTGAATAAATCGTAGAAAAAACTTATTCCTAAGCACCTTGAATTTTCTAAGAGCAGATGTGAATGCCATATGCAGCAGATGAGGGCGTTAGAAAAAAATAATTGACCCTTACATCACGCTCACGTTAATTAAACTAAAATCCAATTCCATGTATACATAAGGTTCTAAATCGCTTAAAGCAAACCCTAGCTTACCTTTTATAAATTATTTAACTTTATTCATGCTCTACATTACGAAATTTGATATATCAGATCGCCCGATGATAAGGTTGAAAGTTCCGTGGCTGCCACGTGTCGAAACAAAAAATTCTAATCTAACATCAACCAAATGTTGGATAGAACTTTGCACCTGCTGTTTCTATTAGAAATTTGTTTAGAAATTCTTTAATTGGGCTCTCCTGACCGTTGAATGATAAAAACTTAAATTTGAGGGTCTTATAAAATGCCAGCTGGATAATTTCGAAAGTGGGTTGTTTAAATAATACCTAAGTTTTCATATGATAACTAGTTTACGATGTATTGATCATTTCATACAGAATTTAATTCTTATATTCTATTCTACGCTGAGCGAGCTATTATATACTTTATTCTAAGGAGTGATCAATATCATCTATCATATATACAATTCTTTTTTAACACCAAAAAACTGATCTTTTCCGCGCACACGCCGCCAACCGGATGTGTGCTCGTAGCATAATATTACTTCCTCTAGGGATATAAATAAACATCCCATTAGAGCCAGATGTTCCCCCCAGCGAGGAGTTTTTTTGGGAGTATTTTACAATATATAGACAATTCGCTTGTAAACGGTGATATCCTGAGTGTGAATCAATTTTCTATATAAGGAAAAAATCGCGAGGAAATCGGCATGTACCGGATCAAGAGTCAAAACATATCCTATTAGTGTGACGTTTTTGGCATTGTATTAAAAAAGAAAGGTTAAAAAGTCGATAGGGAGACATTAATGGTAGTTAACTTTAAAAGAAAAATATTTTTTTTTTTTAAAACTAAAATTTATGTTACGGTTCGACGAACGATTTCTTTTATTTTAAACGTCGGTGCCATTAAGCTGAGAAAAACATAACTAAATAAAAAGAGAACTGATAGACGCAAGCGCACACCTGGCGTATGAATGGCAAGAATGTTAATCTAGGTTTATCGATAACCACACTTTTAAGCATTATCTTTCCTTAAATAATGTTATAAAAAAAGTAAATATTTATATTTAAAACTAGCCGTCTAAGTATACAACAGCCGCGTTTATTGCTCAATCCCTAAGTAAATAAAAGATGTTTCCTTTAAATTCACAATCAGTTTTAAATATATTAGTATTATTACACTGTGTAATTTCGAAATATTCGAAATCAAATACGTTTCCGTTGCCTCTGATAAAAACATTCATTTGTTTTAAAAGCAATAAGAGTTCTCAAAGTAGTTTCGTCTTATTATTAAATGTCTGCAACGAGTGCTTTGAATCTTTGACTAAAATAAGCTACATAAATATTGAATAAATGGAAATTGCTAGGATATTCGCTCGTCGCGATGTCAAAGCGGGCATTAATAGCGAACTGGTGCGAGGCGCGAGCACACTTTAATATTATATATTTATATGCCGCCATGTATCAACAATATCAAAGATTATAAGGGATCAGTGCCAGGAACTGGGTGCTGTGTAATCACTAAGCAACGGAGGTTTATTACTTAACAATATTAAACGTTGACAAAATTTATTTTTGTGAATTGAAGAAAGTTCGAATTTGTTGAAAATTTCCAAGGGCGCGAAACCACCGTAACTCCCAGAGGAGGGCTAAGAAATATCGCGCTGATCCAATGCCCTGGTTCGCGATGAGGGCCTCTTATCACCAGTCTCGAAACACCACTTTCACTTAACAAAGTTTTGTATTACGACACGCCTTGTGCAACTTCATCTTGCTATGACTTGGAAAACCCTCAAGAGCATTTATATTTAAATTTTTCCTACCCTTTCTTATTTTCATTTCGACCTCATTTTTAAACACAGCTAAAGAGAAAGAATATCGCGTTATATAGATTAAAGAATTATAAGTAGCTAGTCATTATATGAGTAAGGAAAATGTGGGAATAAATAGAAAAGAGAGAGTATTAGAATTAATCAAGGTGGTTGGTTATGGTCAGATAATAACATACGTTTGAATAATTATATTCATCTTTGTGTTGCCATTGATAAAAAAATTTACAAACAAAGAAATGCTTTTACGGTTGACGTTATGCTTTCAGCTTTGGCCATCTGTATAATTAAAGTCTTTCCAGCTCGGTCTTCAATACTACTACTACAAATGAAATTGAATAATAAAAGAAATTATTTGGACATGCGGACCATTTTTGTTTATGCATCATGTTCTATAGTTATTTATAGCCAAGGTTTGCAAGAGGAAATAAAACAATTAGGTATTTAAAAATAAGCTGAAGTAGAGTTTAGATGGAATAAGTTGTTGGAATACCTTTCAAAATTTGAAAATAAAACCTTTTTGAGGCTTACCTCTAGGCTTGGACATTGTATCAAGTACATTTAATCATGAGCGCAGGTGCAGTAGCGTGTTTTATATTAATTTTGTTACTGCGATATCGCTTCGTATGTGCCATATTGCTAAGTTTTTTAGAAAATGTTTAAATCTGTAAGTGATTAAAAATCAGCAGGTGTTCTTTTTTAATAAATTATGCAAATAACTAAGCTTATTCCAAAACCAAAATGCCGTACGGCCGGTATTGAATAGGCAATTTTTAAAACTACCAAATTGTGAATAATTATAATTTCCGATAATTCAAGGCAACTTTAGCCTCAACAAATAAGGTTACATTACTTTGTCATTACAGAAAACCCCCAGTTAAAAAAAATATTTAGTTGAATGGTTTTCCAAGGGTTTATAATTTCGAGGTATATTTTAGTAAATCTTCCGGGTGGAAAAATATAATTATATATAAAATTCTCGTGTCACAATGTTAGTCTGCATACTCCTCCGAAACGGCTTGACCGATTCCTCTGAAATTTGGTAAGCATATTGGGTAGGTCTGAGAATCGGCTAACATCTATTTTTCACACCCCTAAATAATAAGGGTGGTCCACCCCTCAATTTTTTTTTTCATTTTTTTGACAAAATTTTTTTTTTTATTTTTTTATGATACGATATTCAAAAATACATACAACCCTAAGTTTTTGCCCTTCTATCACCAACCCCTATTTTTTATTATAAATGATATACGAGTACATGGCAAAACGACGTTTGCCGGATCAGCTAGTAATTATATACGTTTGTGGATTTGCGATAAAAGACCTGAAATACAAACTCCAACGCAAAGAAATTACAAAGTGTAAAGAGACAAAAACTACAGTAAAGGCCGAATGATCTGAGATATACTTCTCCAAACTTTTAAGCGTTTAGATGTCAAATGAAAACGTTGCGCTTGATTAACTAGATATTTTTACATACAGTACATCCAGTTTACATATCAAAAATGTAAACTGGAATACAGAAATGGTTTTAAGAAGTCGCAGATGCAATTTGCCGTCGCAGTGACACAACAAAATATAAACACCATTATATTTTATAATCATAAAAATAATATTCATAAAGAAATAATACCATTATATTATTTCAAATTTATAAAAAAGTTTGTATCGTTTTGTGAAAAAAGTGCAAATTGACCATAAAATTATAATATTATTTCACTATTTTCTATATTACTTGATAAAATTATAAAATATATTGGGTGAATCCAATTAAAATCAAAAAATTAACAATGTTGGACTTACTTCAATACGTCAATTTCTTGTTTTAATCGGGTGACATCGGACAAATGCATGGTTTTCAGGATCTCAATCTGCTCAGCCATCGCCTGAAGCTGCTTTTTAATTTGGAGTTCGGCTCCATTCGCAGTCCATAAACATAATAAAACAACACAAAAGTTCAAGCACTTCATCGCGATAGGTTACTTCGGCGCGGTGGTTAATTCAGAGGCGTACGTCCACCTCGGGCCACTCTCGCTACACGAATGCTCCGCGGCACCTCCACAGCCTTTATTATACACTTGGGGGCTGCGTTTGAAACGCAGATGCGTTCAACAGTTGTTGAAGCCTGAAGCGGTGAAGCCTTCATAATATGCACCAATCACAACCTTATTGACGCTCCGACTTATGATTCGTATCGGAGACGTTATTATTTAAATAAGTCAATTGCGTCGCCCGCATTATGTGCAAATGTTTATTTATGTTATACAGGAATAACGTTAGCTTAAGCTCTATATATAAGGAATGTTCGTGGAAGTATGCAATAGGGGAATAAAACTGTGACGTACTGTGTATAATAAATACTACTACAAACTTGTAGCATCGAAGAACCGCTATTATATAATTTTTATTAACATAGTCAAAGCATTATTAGCATACGTACACGTGTAGAGTTACACATTCGTTTTACAACAACCAACAACATTTAATTGAGGAAATAACAACGTTGGTTACTTATTCCTTAAACAAATAGAGACAGAATAAATTTAGTATAGTAGGCATTACAAGCCAACTCTTTCAGGTAATCCGCGTCAAATAAAACTTATTCTGGGAAACAAATCTCACCCACATATATAACCATTAATACGATATAAAATATACATACTGATATTATGACTGATGCAATATACACTTTAAAGTTCAATTATCGGTTTTCAGCAAGCGATTACTGTAATCCATGTGTGTTGCGGTACAATCACATATTTTTATACTATACACTATTATTACGTATAGTCTACATATTATAGGCTATATAATAAATTGCAGTGGTGGCCTAGTGGCTTTAGCTTCTGACTCTCATCCCTGAGGTTGTACGTTCGTTCCCACGCTGTGCACCAATGGACTTTCTGTCTATGTGCGCAACTAACATTTGCACGAAGGTGAAGGAAAACATCGTGAGCAAACGGCTTGTCTTAGACTCAAAAAGATGAAGGCTTGCGCCAGGCACAGGATCATCTACTTGCCTATTAGATTGACATTGATCAAGAAACAAATACAGAATTCTGAGGTACACTCCCAAAAAAGGTTGTAGCGCCACTGAGATTTATTTTTTAATATGTTATATGCATACAACATATATAGACTAATAAAACAGTATCGTGATAGTATTAAATTGCAACTGTGTACGTTTAGATAAAGTATAATTACTATTATTATTAAGCCTTTATTTATTAAATCTAAATTTACATCTGATTCTATCAGTAGGTTTTTTTAAAGGTTTACCAATACAAGTTCAATAATTTTTTTAATAAATACTCTGAACTTTTGCGCCGTAACCCGATACCGTGAAACCAATAAAGCCTGGATTGCCAGAACCTACACGTAAAAACCAATCATACGGCATGTGGGCATTTTTTGTAACTATTAAAATTTTCGAGATAATTTTTTCTGCCAGCATATTGTGTGCACAAAGGCTGAGGACTTGTGGCTCATAGCCCTAACTCGGTTTGTTTTATACAAACAAAAATATATGCAGTTCAGTGGTGGCACGATATTAGGTACAATAAAACTTAAACCAGTTTCAAGATCTGCTAAAAAAATTTTTTCTATTTGAAGTTTGACATTTTTGACAGCGCTCGAGACGAGGTTGTAAATCAGAATATGGACTTTAATGTAAGTATTGTAGAATATTTGACATTTCCCTAGTCAACAACCACGATACTCCACTCATACGTCAAGCTTAATAAGTTAACATATTCCTCAAATTGTTGGGTTGTACTCCAAGTAAAATACTTACATCGCTTGCGCAGCGACATAATGTGCCTTAGCATTCCAAAACTAGAGACCGTCACCTTTGTCGATCGCGTGCTACTGCGTGTAAAATAATTCAAAAAACATGTAGAAACATATCAATGAATTAAACAATCAACAACTCTCAATATATAGGAATTGATAAGGTTTAGCATTTTGTAGAATAAAATCATTTTTGTATTTGAAAGCTTTTAGTTAGCTGGTTAAAATTATTTTTCTTACAACGATAACACTATAGCATATCCATTCATATAATTGAATTATATTATCAAATATCAAAGAAACAGATGCCTTAAACGAATTGAACTTTCTACCTGATATTTTCGCACTATTAAAAGTATACGCACGTCGAGATACAAAGGTTTGTTGTCATTTAAATAAGGTACTATATAATCAATTACTTAAGGATTGAATATATCAGTGAGGAATTTAAATATTTATACGCCGCGAGAAGTTCGAACTAATATAAATTACCAGACTGTATTATTGTAACTGACCGATCTTACCGTTACTAATTTTCATTTGAAAATAGACTTTACATTAGTCCACAGATTATTATATGTTTTTACTTAAATGTAGATTGAGATGGTGTCTGTGACACATACAGACTAAAAGTAATATGTTTTATAATCCACTAGCGCAAGCTATATACTAAGATGTGGGCGCAGGCCGCAGAGAACCAACGTGTCAAACTAAGCCTCCGAGGCAAAAGACACCACCGATGAACTGTAGGCGCTGCTTGCCATTGACAATCGGCCATATAAATCACATCTATTTTAAAGTAAAACTCTAATAATAAAAAACACTTAATATGAGTATATTCTTTACTCAAAAAAAAAAGCTTTTATTCATTAAGTTGTATTCATTTAGGCCCTTAAAATCAGCAAAGACAATTTGTTAATATTGTTCCAATTTTAAAATAAAAAGACTTCCTAGTGACATATTTTCGTTATCCTATCCATTTACAATTCAACTAGTCCGGCTTCATTAAAAACTAAAAGGAGAGCTGTTTAAAATTCGTTAACCTAGTTGATATTCAGATGGAAAGGGAGTAAGCCTGAAAGCTTCACATCGCAAGGGCACTTTCGTGATGAGTTGCATGTAGGTTCTTTGTGCTACATCCAATAAACTCGACTGTCAACGCGCGTCGCATTATTTTTTATCAGGAAATAAAATACAAAAACTGAAGAATTATACTTTTGTATAATTATTTCTTTCTGTTGCGCGTTCTTTATACTTGCTTCTGGTGTGAAGGGAAACATCGGGAGGTATGGATTGTCTTAAAACTCAAAATTTCTCATAAAATCGATATTTCACAAGCGCAAAAGGCTGATCACCTACTTGTCTATAAAAATACATATCGATGAACTGGATGTAATCTGCGGCCACACCCTTATAGGGTTAGAACGTCACTGGATAATTAGTTTTATTATTAATATAGCATATGTTTATTTCCAACAAAAAAAAACCCAGGTTTTTGAAGATTAAACATTTCTAAAAACTTATCCGATGAGAAAAAAATTGCTGAGAAAAAATCCATTTAAAACTAACTATACCTATTATATATTTCTTAATGTTCCCATTCATTCCTTATAGTTTTAAACTAAAGTAAAATTGCTTTGTATAATCGTATTTGAAAAGGCATAAGGAAATCTTAAACAGATGAACTGTTTTTATATTGAAAATATGTTAAAGATAACTTTTAGGTAATAGACTCTTGAATAGAAAAAAATAAATCAGTACAACGGACCTCCATCGAAAATTTAAGTTGATAAAGTAAGATTGTTATCACGAAATCTTGGAGATGGCCTGTCTGCTAGTTACAATAGCATCACAAGAGCTTAAAGCTTAGATTAGAATCTAGGTTAACTAGATCAATTGCTACTTGGCCACTTATCCCATAGTTCAATCTTCAGAGCGATGTTACTACACCTAAGCTTTAACACTATGAACTAATTAAACTTGTGACATTTGAAACTTACTCAATTTCACTTAATATTGCAGATTATAAAATTGAGATATCAGGCTCTAAATTTAAGAAAGAAAATACTTTATTATACACTATATACAGGTTGTTTAGATTAAGTAAAGTGCACTGGCCCCCACACCAGGATTCCCTGTGTTGTGGGCAGCCAGTCTCTTCCTTTTGACACGTAAACAGTATTTTAATAATTTCTACACGTTTATATTTACACTATTTTTGCACAATCAGAATATTTTCAGTATCAGCATATGACAGGTTAACAAGATATTGTTAGAGTTGTTTAGTAAATGTATGTAAAGTGATTTTTAAAATGTTAGAGATAATTTTGTTTTTAAGGAAGTGGTTAAAGATAGAAAGATAGAAAGGGCCTCGGAAGGAGAAAAAGCGTTGGGCGAAGAAAGTGCAATTTTTGGGTTGCTTATACATATATAGATTTGCGTTTTGTTTGCTGTGGTGCGGCGGGTGTTTGTTTCCAAAAAAGTCACACAAATTAACAGATAGAAATGTATGTATTTACTTATTTGCAACTAGGCACTCACAATACACATTTTACGAGTTTTAAGTTTCATATATTAGAAATCACTAAAGTCATAGGTCACAATATATAGTTTATCATAATAATCTAATGATGGTACAACGCTTAATGCGCCTAAGATGTCGTCCACCTTTGTTTGGTCTTTTTACAGTTTAAAATATAGATTTTTTAAAATTAATAGCACTCAACACGCCACGCTGCAGTTAATTCAGTAGAGCTACAACGATATTCGATTTAACAAGACAATACTAAATTAATTTTCAAAATGGAAAACGGGCCTTAATATAATACGCACGTTTCACGGTACGGGAACTTGTTAACTACAAAAGCTCCACTGAAATTCAATATTCTTCGCTAATGATGGCAATATGTTTTCGTTCTAGCTCGCAGATACTAAAATACGAGAAAATCCGTAAATTAAGATTACACATTGAAGAAAGAACATCCACAAACAGACATTTTATTATACATAATATATTATACGATAACCAAACAGTTTTTTAAAATACACAGTCAAAACTCAAATCCAAATTACAAATACTTCGATTACCAAAATTATTATAAAACCTTTGTGAATTAAATTTCAGTAGAAGCACATATTCGTGCAGACATTTGACACTCCAGTCGAGAAGGGCGTGAATTAG